TCAGGTTTTTACAGAAATGCTGTATGTCTTAATGGAAAGCTGCCTGTTGTTTTCCATCGTTTGAATAATTTGAGTGTTCAGAATGAAACCCGATGGATGATGAGATTTGCGATTATTGATCTGTGTTTGTTTAGATCAGGGCTTACAAAGATTACTCACCACATTTATCACCTTCACTTCACTTAACTTGTAGTTGATTAATTTTTCTGACAATATACCGATTTCCCCTTTACCATTCGGCTTCTTTTATTTGTCTGCTGAAATATCTACACTATTGTTACTCTGTTCCTGATAAGAATTTATGCTTATTTTATCGCACTGCTTTATCAATCTAATAGAGAATTCGATCTTCCAGTTTCTGATGTATCTTGCATACCTTCTGTGTTGAAGTCATTCTCTTGATCTCACACTGCAGAGAAATTATTACTTCATCAATCAAGTGAACAGTTTTGTTATTGAATAAATAGGTTATTTATACGTGATATGAGATTGTGTAGGTTATGTTGATGGTATCATTGAGAGTTAAGCTGTGGATTCAATGCGGTTGAATCGAAGAACCATTTTTCGTCTTATTTATGACTCGTCAGGTAGATGCGCGTGTCTTCTAATAAGTTGCGTTGTCTCCACTGCTACTTGGAACAGGAGCTCATGGGCGTGAGCTTAAGCATCGGGAGATCAACATATAAAGTAGCAGAGGAATAAGGTTAAGTACGAATGAGTCAAGAAGAATAGGTCAAAGGTAGTAGAAAGCAGTAAAATAGAATAATGATGAATGAGAAACTGCCGAATTCAGTGAAGATGAAGATTAAGTGTGGGGATACATCTATGCAATTGATATCGACTCTGAGTCATATCAACTAGAGTCTTCAAGCAGTTGTTTCTCTTATTAGTTTGACCTCAACTGTGAGGTCTATATTCCTCTATTTTGTTTAGCCCAACAGTCAAAGACTTCCTACAGTGGTGCCATCTTTTACTCTGTTCGCCCCTAATCCTTTTCCGGTCTGAACTTGTTTCCGCTAATATTGTTTTACGAGGCAGACCACGACTGGGGATGCCTAACATATGTCAAAACAACCTAGGTCAGTGCAGATTCACAGCCTCATCAACTGACTTTTCTTCTACTCCCTAAATACCTACATCTGATTCCGGTGTAGTGACAACATGTCACGTAGCGTACGCTAAGAAGATAAAGATGGTCGAATTCCTGAAATCTTCTCATGTACTCTTTCTTGAATGCCCATGTTTCATAGTCATGCAACAGAAAAGAGCAAAATACATTACAGTAAATAATTTGCATTTTGAATGCTAAGAAATGCATCCTAAACATTCTCAGATTGCCACTCAAAGTATGTAGAAGACACTGCATCTTGTTAGCATCTTCTCGTATCAGGACTATATCACCTGCGTAATCTAAATCTGCCACGGATACTCCAAAATAAGATCACTCTTTATGAAGTCAGCGGACGACACGGACACCTACACTAGTGCGAATTTGATAAAGTTGAAAAATCGAATGGAAGGAGTGGATAAACTCCACAGATACAACTTAACATACATAACTCACCATAGGCTCTACGGCGCCCATGGGTGTTTAAGCTCAGAGCCTTCAACAGACTGGTATGCTTACTTGGGACTGCTTTTATTTAGAAACATTGACATAGGGCCTTTCTATCGACGGAATGCCATGCCACCTTAAGGTCATGTGCTGTCAAGCGTCGGTAATTGTGCCTGTATTTTAGAACCTTTGGAAAAGTAAATATTTGGTCGATACACCCCCAGCCAGTTTTGAAGTCTACCTGGCTTTCTCATGTTTGCTGTTCCCGAGTGCCACTCAAATATCTTATGACTATAGAAATTAAAATCTTAAATATAATGTTCATCGGACTGATTTCTCAGTGGTTATCACTAGCGTACCTCTTACACTTCTTCGCGACTGGAACAATCAGCAATTGAGGCCAGTCAAAAGGGGTCATATCTTGTTGCTGTGAATTAGTTGACAGTTCACTTAATCTGACCGGTAATCCTCTGCTATTGTCTCTAAATACATCTGGAACTGCTCCATATGACCTTACTTATTTTCCTTGTGTCAGGTTACCAGCAGCTGTCTCGAATTCCACAAATGTCAGAGTTTCCATCACTGTATTTCATTCTGGATATGACTAGATATTGGACGGTGAAACATTAGTTGTAAGCTACTTGAACTGTTCCTCGAAGTATTCCATCCATCGTCCCAGTCGTCTCTCCTCTGAATGAATCACATGCCCCTCTTTTTCGCTATAGTTTCACTAACCACTGACTTTTCCACCCGGTTTTCTTGATAAGCCAATGTAACTGTCTACTGTCGCCTGTCTCTACTGTCATGACTTCTCTACAGCCTTGGCTACCCACCGTCGTTTGAAGTAATTCTATTCACTTTTTGACAGTCTACACTAGAGTTGCTCTGAGTGCAGATATTAGAGATGTGTCCACCTGTGTCCAATAATTCGGAAGAAACTGTTGAAATTCACTGGCTCTTTTTAACTCCTCTCTGACAGTCCCTTACAGTCTTCAACACTGTTTTTACAGAAGGCTGGAGATGGCTGCAACCTCCTTTTGGATAGGTGTTGTTTCGCTCCGATAGGTGCCCAGCCAGTTTCTCGTCGAAACCAGCCTAATTGCTCTCATTTTTAAGCTGCAATCACGATGGTTTAGTTGCTATAGCTTTTTTATATCCATTTCAAAACAGAGAGTACTCAAACAAGAAAGTGTCCAAACATGTGGTGCTGAAGGAGCAGTAGTCTCCCACCAGCTCTCTCCAGCGAAAACTGACGACCACTTTGGCTTTGCTTCCCACTGAGTTGAGCTCTGTGGATGTCACGTCAGACAGCGTCTTTGTTCGTCTGATGTTCGGGCTGGTCAAAAAAAATTATTGTCTGAGTACAGTTGTCTGTCCGTTCCGCTAGGGTTCCGAAAGTGCCATCAGAGTGCCTTTCTGTCTGAACTATCAAGCTCGTCAGTGCACTAAAATCATCTGTGTCAAAAACCGCGTCTAAGCTTTGGCTTTCACTAGGAAACAAGACATTTTTCGTTAGCACTCATCCTTGAGTTCATCCGAACTGGAGTTAAAGGGTAAGTAGTCAAGGATTGAAAAGAGACAACAGACAGTTCCATTGCTGTTTGTGATCTCCGCTGTGCAGTTTAGTCGAACAGTGCATAGGTTGCTGTTAACAGAGATCCTGCAGAGATGTGAACTCTCCGCAACCCCAGTTAATACTGCACCTACTTTTGGAAGACCGCACGAACAAGGTATCGGATTTTCAGTAACTTAAGGTGTGAATTTTGCGGATTCACCATGTTGAATGACTGAAGTTAGGGGAACAGCCTCTTTTGGGTCCTCTAACACGGCACACATCCATGTCCTGATCTGCAAGAGTTTTGGACTGCAAAGCTTGTTAGCTGGTTTTAACGGAGAGTGTAGACATTGAAAGCTCCAATGTATGGTTTGTAATGCAGTTTCAGGAAATCAATGGTGTCGTGTTGTGAACTCAGATTGTTGTCAAGAGCTGAAGAACTAGAAAAGGTTGAAGTCGGTTTAAGAATGTTGACTAAGAGATGTGAAGGAAGATTATGAGTTGAGGATTTGGAAGGCGGACAGTGATCTGAGTCCTGACAAAGGATGGGGTCAGTAGACACGTTCTGGCTGCCCACAATATGAAAGGCAAGTTCTCCTTAAATTAATCAATCTGCATACTACACAGTAACTGGATTTTCATCACTACCAGTAATATAATATTCAGTCAGTCATTGCAATATCTTTAGGATGTTTCTAGGCTCAGGTTAAACGCAGCTCAGCGTGACAGGGGTGAAGACCTTAATTCATGACTGTTGCTGGTTTGTAACCTGAAGAGAGTCCTCATGATGAAGTGTACTTGTTATAAACATAGCCGATGGCTATAGAGATCGTACTGCAAGAGCAATAATTTTGATATGCTACACTAAGAGACCTACTGCAGTTTAAAATTCACCAAGGAGATGGGAATACCTGTGAATGTCATGGAAACGGATGTGTTATATGTCTGAGCTAAGGTGAACTTCATGAGGGTTGAGTAAGTTCCAAGTAGATGATCCGATTGTGATAGCCACACAGAGAAGCATCATCTTCAAATCAGTTGACGGGATTGTGAGAAACACATAGTGCCCTAAATATCCTCCAATCAGAGGTAGTGTATCACTGTGCGCTGATCATATGGAATCATGTGAAGTGCAGGTGATTAGTCTTTAAGTGTGATCTTATTCGAGAGGGAGTCGCACAACAAGAATAGTGTATCACAGCAATAGCATTACGGTCACCTGATTGAATAAGGTTCTGAAGCTGTAGGATCCGGTGAAAGAGTTACAAACTTCCTGTAATCTCTGTCTTACAACTTAAATATTAAACCCAACCTATGAGTGTCTGATGCAAAAATGGGGATATTTGGAATGGTTCACTTTCCTAGCTGATTAGGTAGGCTTTATCACCAGTAAGTTCGAGACCTCAGTGTTTTGACGGATTGAATTCCAAGATAGACGACTCAATATTCAAGTTTTTATTACAATAATTCTCCCATTTTTATAATCCAAATAGGAAGTTTTTCGGTGTAAAAACTATCACACAATGACTGAAGGCTACAGACGACAACAGTCACTCCCCGGAATACTTCACAATATCAATTACGTTGATAAAATTCACAGTTTATATGGAATAGAAAAAGAAAACAGAGAGAAAAACATAAAATTTTTTGTAAAACTAAGTATAATTTTTAGTTATGTCATGTGTTTGTTTACTTTCGGTATACAAAGAGATAAAACTGTTTACAAGAAACAGAATAGTTCCACATCTTATTGTTTATTAACTTCATCAACTCAAGATAGTTTTATCATGCTGAAATCAGCTAGTTTCAATGAGAATCATTTAACTGAATGAAATGGTATGACAAGTAAGAAAATTTTCACAGTCGAGGAATCAACTTTAAGCATGTCTTCAATTTTTTTTTACTACACAATAAGATCAAAAATAATTAAAGTGTAATAAATAGTATATTGATCACTGATGACTGGTATTTCTGAGCACGAATAGGATTATATCGTATAGAATGAAACCCGTTTATTAGAAGATAAAGGAATGGATGGAAAGCAGAATAGTTTATTCTACAGAAATATTGTTATTTAAGGTTGCTTTCTGAGTATGGTATAACATTTTTTTTATAAAACAGGAATGTTCAACTATTTGACTAAAAAAAGAAGGCGAATTTCATGTCAGTTCTATTCTCTATCGTCTAAACTGTTCTCAGTGTACACTTTCTGTTTATGTTAGAACTTAGAAATTGTACATGCAGCTATGATAATTAGAAGAAGCTGAAAGTAGAATGAAATATGAAGAATAGTAAATTTTTTTTTAAAGAAAAAGATTTAATGAAACTGTAACAGTTTTGGAAGAAAAGTATTTTAAAGAAAACAAAAGTAACAGCTTAGGAACACACTTGATTGATGCTTAGAATGATCAATTTGCAAACGATATACACATTGCATAGTTTAGATTGACTTTTCTGACATTTGAGTAGTTTCTCAGCCGCTCAACTTGGGTGTCAACAGCGTTCCCTTTGGAAACTACTACATATCAATCAAGATTACTAGGTATCATCTCTGATTCAAGAGTGTATTAAGTAGTTAGAAACTACTCGGTTGGGCAAATTCAACTCACCTAAACAAATAAGCGAAACAGCTGTCCGATATCTGGATCACTACCGTCTGGTTGGTGGAATCTACAAATCATCTGGAGTGATTCCTGCCTACTGAAAATATTAAGTAGTACACTACAATAGACTGATGTTCGTCTCTACTTTGCGTTTTTTCAACAGAGATAAAGGACGCGTATGCCAAATTCAGCGGAAAACACGCTTGTCACAATCCATGAACAGAAAATTTCCAACTTCTTTCAAAGTATGACAATAAAACTATCATTCATTTCAATAATCATAATTTATTTGGTTGTGGCTAGCAGAAGAATCCAGGATGGGCTTTTCGCCTTACTTGGGACTCGTCAGCTGGACGTACATGCACCCCGGTGAGTGATATTTTTCCCACTGATACCCGAACTTCGTACCTATCGCTCAGTGGGAACAACATTACTCCGCACTGTGGCGCGGCACATCCAGCCAAAGAGTCTCAAATAGGATGAAACGGATTCCTGTACTAGCCACAACCAACCAAATTACCATAGTTAACATTTAGGCAATATCGAGGCATTCGTATTGGAGTTCAAATGCCAATAGAGGTCGAATAATTCGATCCAACACAACAAACAACGGAGAATAACAAATATATCAATAAATAGTAACCATTCATTATCTTCGTAGAATGAAGACTCAGTGTTCTTCAGTGACTGTGACCTATGAGGTCAACCAGACAGGGATGATAAGGAATCTTTACCGGTTATATTCTGTGATAGCCAAAGTATATTACAGTAACTGAACATCAGCATGCTTTCTGTAAAACTTTATGGTCCTCGAATCGAATCTTCATAAAATCACTTATACTTACTTCTGAAGAGATTGCAGCCAAGATTTTGTCGAAATCGTCAAGTTGACTGCTACACCACTGTTTTATGCAAATTGTAGTTTATGTATTTAACAGTTAACACAATCGCCGACCTATAAGACGATCCTACTAACTAGTAGATACAGAACCTGAGTAGTTCAGATACAATCCACTAACTTTTTTCATTCTTTATTTCAATGGTTAATTGAACTTTCCAAATATCTGAAGTGAATATGAAACCATTCAAAGTCAATCTATTGAATGTTGATCTGACTGAGTAGAGATTTTTACAGTTTAGGAATGGTGTGAAGTGTTGATTACAACTTATGTGTTTCATTGAATTCACCTACCATTTATGTAATCAATTTATTAGATTAGATTTTAGTAGTCAAATAGTGGGTGTTGAATCTAGGCTTCGGACTGGTTGGAAGCCGCTAGCAAGATATATCTTCAATCATAGGGTGAGTAGTATTCTAGTGATAATTTGGAAATCAGAGACTAGACCACAAAACCACTTAGTGACAAAATATAACAAATCTTATAGTGGGGTTATCTAGTTTACTGATTCAACTGCAAAGTCTGTTGATACTTCAGTTTGCACTAAGTAAAGTGAAGTTGTGGTAAATAGTAGTGTAGTATACAAGCTGCATTTCGTCTTATTTACGATTCATTGAACCTCACATAGGTAACTAGTACAAATAGTTACTAGCCGGTCCTAGACCAGGATAAACAGGGAACGTTGGACATAGGGCTAGCAACCCTACCCCGGAAAACCAATCTAAGCAGTAAAGAAACTTCAAAGCACAAAGTAAATATAAAAGTAAAAACAAACTTGTTCATCACTGGAATCGAAGAGGCGAAATGACGCCAGTTGGTGAAAGCCTGCCTTCGGGAAGCCAATTTCCAGATTTATCTTCTCTCGCTCGATGGAAGCAACAGTAAGCATGGGAACATGGAATGTTCGAACAATGTTTGAACCTAGTAAGGCTGCCCAGATTGCAAAGGTGAAGAGAAACTATAGCATATGTGTGCTTGGAATCTGCGAGGAATCTGCAGATGGAATGGGAGTGGACTCTCCAAACTGTCAACTGGAGAATCAATAATCTACTCCTATATTGTCATCCAGACGACAACCACGAGCACACTGATTTATGGAGTGACTATCATGATGTCCCCTTCAAGAGCGCCGAAGGCTCTCATGCGGGGGGAACCAATCTCCTCCAGGATTAGGATCATGACAGCAAGGTTCAGCTCAAAAGGAAGGAAAGTCACAAGCACACAATGCTACGCCATGCGACTACAAATAGTGCAGATCAGAAGAAGGAGAAGGAATTCTATAGACAACTGCAATCAACACTGGACAACACCCCATCCCAGTTGGCAACATCAAAATTCATTCTGATGGGTGGGGTGACATGAATGCCAAATCGGGAGCAGACAACACAGGCAGACAACCAATCATGGGTCGAGAAGCACTCAGTGAAATGATGAATGAGAATGGAGAACTGTATGCAGACTTCTGCACATTGAACAACTTGGTGATTGGGGGCGAGGTAGTGTGGACAAACACAAGGATATTCACAAAGTGAACGACATGCAATCGACTTCACCAGATACCAGGACACACTTCACTGAAAATCAGATTGACTTCATCTCAATGTGAAGGAAGTGGAGATGCAATCAGCCTAGTGGACAGAAGATGAGGTGAGCTGAAGGAGTGGAGCGGATGTGTGTAGGTTGACACCACTGACTATCTAGTGCAAGGAGCCTACCTTCAAAATCAAGTTGCAAGCCTTCAAACAACCTGGTGGTGATAGACCGAAGTTTGAGTGGAACACCCAGAACAGAAACTCAACTGATGGACGTAACAACGAAAGATATCTTCACGTCGTCAGTCATCAGGACAAAATATGAGACATTAGGAAACATTCTTTTGGAAACCTGCGTGGTCAAACACTGTAACTCTCTGAAAGAGATGTGGAATGAAACCTGCATAACCGTGTTAGGAAGGAAGAAGAAGAAGAAGAAGAAGCAAAATAAGGAATGGATCACGATGGACACATGGGAGCTGATAGAGGAGGGAGAGGAAGATGGTGAAGCAGAAGATGAACCAGTGAAGGGATGCACAACAAAAGACGAACTGACTACGACGTACAAAACACTGGACAAAGAAGTGAAGAATAGTGCGTGCAAAGATGAAAGACACTTCCATGACACACTGGCAAGTAAAGCAGAATGGGCTGCTGGTAGGAGAAATAGAGACTTGACAACACTATATCAAATAACCAAGCTACTATCCGAGAGGAGATCAACACAGCGCAGATGAAACCAATGAAAGATAGTGAAGGAAACTTAGTTATCATCAAAGAAAAGAAACAAAGGAAACTATTGGCTGACCACTTCATAAAACTCTTAAATCGACAACCACCTGCAACTCGTCCAGAAATACCACCAGCACCACAGTCACAGAACTACCAGTGAACACAGGCCCTCCAACGAAAGTGGAAGTCTTGAATGCCATAAAACCGCTGAAATGCAGGAAAGCAGCAGGCCTAAATGGAATTCGGCATGAAGCACTGAAAACAGAAGCAGGGACGACAGCGGTCTGGCTCACATCACTATTGCAGAAGGTTTGCAATGAAGGAAGGAATAAAGTAAAGGTACCTTCTGATCGATTGGAAGAACAGCTACCCTGTCAAACTTCCAAAGAAGGGAGACCTTAGTCTTTACAAGTGGAAGAACTGGCGCGGAATCATGCTCCTGTCCACTCAAAGCAATCAAAATATTAAGCCACATCATCCTGGAGAGAGTGAAAGATGCAATGGATTCAAAATTACAACCGTAACAGGCTGGCTGGCTGGATTCAGGAAGAACAAATCATGTGCGGATCAAATTGCAACGCCACGCATCATCATCATCATCATAGGAGAGAGAATAGAATGCCAGTCAACTGTATCTGTATCTCAACTTCATTCACTGTGGAAAGGCCTTCGACAGCGTCGACCGAGCAGTAATTTAGCAAGTAGCTGCTCAACACTAAGGTTTTAGTGCCACAAATCTGTATCGACCTCATTCAACAGCAGATATATGATGACGGCACATGCCAAGTGATTCACAATGGAAAGCTCAGGGATGCCTTTGAAGTGAAGACAGGAATAAGACAAGATAAGGCTTCTACCCACTGTCTTCGATGATCTTCCTGATTATGGTCGACTGCACTGGACTGGATTGGACTGGATCATGCAAGAAACTGTGAGCAGCGAGAAGAGGGGCATACACTGTTTGATGGATGAAAAGACCCTATAAGATTTGAATTTCGCCGGTGATGATTTATGTGTAATGTCGCGCAAACTCGAAGATTTACAGGCAAATGCTAACAAGTTTACAGGAGAGGTGAGGCGATGCAGAGAAGACGGGACTTCAATTGAGTGCAGAGAAGACAGAGGTGGTGAAGATGCCCAACTAACAACAGCATCAACAACAAGCACCAATCACCATCAAAGCGGGAAACCTAAAGGAAGTAGTCTCTTCCACCTACCTAGGCAGCATCGTTTCAACTACAGGCGTCACTGGCAGAGATGTGGACGTCAAAGCCAGCATCGGAAAGAGAGCAAGACAGGCCTTCACTAATCTGTGGAGATCAGTGTTTAGATCTACTGCACTCAGGATAAAGATCAAGATACGGATTTTCAAGACAGTGAATTCAGTGCTTCTATTTGGTGGTTCAGAAACGTGGTGCATCATTATATGCATTTCCAACAAACTACAGACACTCATCAACCGCTGCTACCTACACTCGATGGTGAAGATTGTATGAGAATATGCAAGTAGGAACTCTGGCCTGTCAACAAACCAACGAAGCAAGAACCTATCACCCGATAAATATGCATAAGAAGAAAACTGAGAAAACCATTTAGGGACATCACGCATCAGGCCAGGCCGTAGAGTGGAATTTGCATGGGCAAAGACGAGTTGGGCGTCCGAGAGTGACATAGAGGAGATGGTGTGAAGAAGAAATGAAAATTTGTGGGCAGTGGTGGAGCCAGGTTCGAGAGACTGCAGAGAACAGAGTGGAATAGAGACGTGCTACTGAAGCCCTACGTTCTACTAGGAACTCAAAGGACAAATAATAATAATAATAATAATAAAAAGGACTCATCAGCTAAACAAACCTGGATCCTAAGGAGTAGTGATGTTCTCATTGATACTTTAATCCAGCAACCTGCTGGAGAACTCAAACCTTCCTAGTTTAATGCTTCATGCAGTTGTGGGTGTTTGCAACAGTAAACATGCTAATGTGTCCATAATACTTGCTATGCTGATGCTTGTTTTTGTGTATTAATAACTTGTCAAATCCAGAGACAGATGGAAAATAGATTTGACTTTGGGATACCTTTGAGGAATTGTATATTGCTTAATATATTGAGTTTCCTATTAGATATTGTAGCGATAGTAATCTGTATACAGTACACTGATTCTTTGGCTATGGTCTACATCAGAGACTATGGAATCCTTAGTTATAAGACCAATACTGACTCCAGTTATTGATGAAATATCTGTTCAGTACTTTGTTTGAATCTTAAGAATGATTCTCATTGAAAGCTGTAAATTTTCACATCGTAAATTCGTGGTGTGAGTGACAAAAATGTTGACAGTTTGATTTTTGGTCAGATTTCTACCTAGATCATTTGATTTTCTTTCAGGATCAATTCTAATTTACTTTGTTCCATGAATGACAAATTGGTTTCAGAATTGGTAATACTTATCAGTCAAAATGAAGTCACCTTTGAATAGCATTTTAAATAGTAAGCCGTTACTTATGGAATCAAGCAAGTCAACAACTGATGAAGGCATCATCTAATAAAATTGAAACACTGTTAACTAAACGGCTAACACATAGTCATTGTTTTCTTTCTCTAGGACTGGTTAATAAAGGAGAGAGAAGTGGGTGTGGAAGAAGACAGTATTTTTAACATGCATGAATTTAAGTGATATGATGGTAGTATTCAGTTTGATATGTATCTATGTATACACCTTAGTTGGATGGAAACAATCGGCAGTCAGTCCTACTCAACCTAAGTTTCCTGTTTACTGGTGTTCACTAAGAAGATATGTCTGCAGTCTTGAAGGTGAATTGATGCAATACAAGAAGAATTCGCAAATCACAAACCAACTTACAAAGAATGCCAGTATACCTAAAGAGACGTAAACAATAGTATTACAATAAGTGTTGATATATGCTCGAATCAGTGTTTTACAGCCTGTATTATCATTTTGTTGCGCGGAACTTGACACTGTTGGACAGGTTGAATCAGACAAAGTGAAAGTTGAATCCACTTTACAGCATGGGATCGGTCGAACAAGCGCTAAAAAAGGGAAAATGAAAAGGGTATGTTATAGTATTGATGGATAGTGGATAACAGTGGGATACAGGACGTGCATTTCATTCCATTTTGGACTAGTCGGCTGGATGTATCTGTCTCCCACTTAGGAATATTCTTTCTACCAGAACGCAAACTCAGTACACTTCAAATACGAGCCAAAAAGGGGATAGTATGAGATTATGACTACAAAAATGGTTGTCTAGTCTTTAGGATAAAACTAATTCAGCCAAGTCTCTACAGTTTAAAAGTTTAAATAACTAAGTACACGTCGATATCCTCTTGACTGAAGACTGATCCCATTGGCGGAAGCTAAAAAGCACCTCCTGCTGGCTGAATTCAACATCTTATACGAAAATGGGCACTTGACAGGTGTCGTGTCTAAGAATGAAACTTCTCAGCGGTGTAGACTGACGACTGCATCAAAGATGGAAATCAGGACTTTCAACTGTTGCAGTGAACGCGTTAACCACTTAACCACTGGGTCCGCATATTTCCTACTTGTGTCAATTCATAGAGTAGTAAGAATAACATCTGGTGTAATGGGTGAGTTTTGTTCCTCATACCCGACTTGGTTAACCTCATAGGTTAAACTATGTCATTAAAACTTCAAGAAATGTCATGTCGAAGCCAGTCACAAATGAGGTGTCCATGACTCAAAGCTTTTCAGTGGTTCTCTTGATAGGCAGTTGTGTGGAAGAACAATCACTTTGAAGATAAAAGTCAGTGCAAATGTCTATGGTGTAGACGATGTCACGGAGTCAGTACGTTTGTGCTACTTTCGCCGATTTTGAGCCTTGTCACCGAAAGTCATCAACTACCCAGTCCTTTCGGCTCGAAGACGTCAACCTGAAAGTTTACACCTCCCTACAAAACTCAGTCAAGGACATCGTCGACCGATGCCACGTCTCAGTCTAGCCACCTTGAACCTTATTCCAACTTAATCCAGCTTCCTTCAGTTTAGCACGTCTAGGTAGACGGTAGCGGGCATGCATAATCTGTTTCTACGCCACCACTAGTGTTGATCCTCTGTATTACTGGTTTATATACACAGATTGACCGCTAATGAGAGGAAAATTTTCGTAAAAAACGTCACTCCAAGCGTTATCACTTAACCTAATTGAATTTCTATTTGTAGATCTTCATGGATTAGCCTGTGAAAATCGATGGGTTCTGTTGTATAGTTCATAGTAGGTATTCATGCAATTGAAGATGACGTGGGCAACTGTTTCACTTTTAATTGATAGCGTTCAAAATGTTGAACAGTCTATAACGAGGGACACTGATTCAACAACAGTCGACATACTCCTCATTAATATCGATATGAAACCGTTGGTTACACCAATACACTCATACAGAAGTCTATGGACTGACGAAGGCCGACCAGTTCGATCTGATCCAACTACCGATGAAAGAATACAAGCTGTAGCATCAAACGATAACCATCGCTCAAATGTTTGCCGTTGTGATTCAGTAGGCAATTAGATCACAGTCTGCAGTTTAAAGTGACAGACTCAAGGTTTAAATCTCAGCGTGAAAGTCTTCGCACACTGAGATACAGGTGAATCTAACTGGAGAGTCCAAATGAGCATGAAGTGTGCGTCTTTGATTCAACTACTAGTCGCTATTGATTTTTTGAGCCTTTTGTGAAACAGTTAATATACTTTGCGATTATATATTCTCGAATTATCCTTCTTTGCCTATTTAGCCAACGAAATTGATAAAGCTACTTTTATTAGGCACTTATAAGGTTCACTTCACTTTCAAAGGCGAACACTTCCGTTAAATTGATGGTGTTACTGTGGAGAGTCCATTAGAAATGTTATTAGCTGATGTATATACGTCACATACTGAACTAGTGGCTCATAATTAAATAAGCAATGTCACATTTTGTAGAAGGTACAGTCATGATATCACTGTAATATGATTATCAACTTGCATTTCTCGACATACCCTTGGATCAGAGGGAAGATGGATCTATCAGAAGATCGAAATTTAAAGAGAGCCTACTTGAACAGGGCAATACCTAAGTTTCTACAGCTTTTATCCAATGAAATATAAGACAGGCTTAGTAAAATGTTTATTCGATAGGATCCAACGTATTTGTACATTTGATACAATGGATGATGAGAGCAAACTTCAGACAGGTACACTATTGTAATCGTTATAGAAAACAGCCAACTCCGAAGCCTAAAACTGTTTTGGTCCCAAAGAAGGATATATTTCCTAAAGTGCCAGAAATGAGTAGTACAATGTAAAAACATAGAATAAAATCTGTTCTCAGTAAAACATACTGTGCAGCTCAGCTTATCATTATTGAGACAAAAAAACACCTACTTCGCCATAAACCTCAATCTTACATAAATGATTATATCACACCTCTCTGTAAGCACATGTACATAGGGAGAAGTAATTGAGCTGAGTAGACTAGGGTAAGTGAACATATACGTAAGTGGTATTAATTATATCCATTGTGTGTAAACACTCATTAAAAATATATTTCTAATGAATATACCTAAATAGCTTGAAACATAAGTTAACACACAAAATTTGATAAGTGCAGGTGACAGTCGTCCATCTTTAGCCATCACAAAACATAACCGTCGAAATGAATGATAAGGTCGATACGAAAAAGAAATTCAAGATATTATGTACAAATAGTCAGAGGCGCATACTGAAATTTGTCAAAGCGTTAGCTATTCGTAAACCTAAGTCTCTGTTGTTTGTACAAAAACAATCTGTTTTTTCGCTTAACTTACTTTGGTAATCCTTGGTAATTGGATTATATTACAAAGACTAGTGTCATAACCATTTCAAATTCATTTTCTTTAACCTTTAGGCTTTCTTTTAATTTTCATATATAAATTGACTTGAGACAAGTAAATATGTATGGGGGATCAGATTTTTCAAAATGTATTGCTCAAGCACATCACACACACAGACACTGTTCAGATAATCTTCGTCTTCTTAATAACCTTATCAAAACTTACTATCCACCTATCTATTTTCCAATCTCTTAAAATTCATTTGATTGATGTGACCATTTGACCATTTGATGTTTAGACAAATGGCTTTTGAGTTAGATTCCTAGTGGAAATAATAGTACTTACTAGGATACAGATACATCCAGCTGACAAGTCATAAATAAGACGAAATACATCTCTTAAATTAAACTGAGAGCTGTTTCAGATCAACTTACACCTAACCATTATGTTAGACCAACAATTATTCTGTCTATAGCTAATATTTTCAAACTCTTTGATTATATTTTAGTGTTATTACACTGTATTACACCGTCGTTGATTGAACCGAATTGATCAGTCTCTGTTGACATATGGGCTGCTGTGCGAATGACTCGATATTGCCTGTGTTCTTAACTATATACAGTAATGATGGATATGTATACTGCGTCTTTCACTGGCAGGGTTTTCATCAAATCTGCTTATCAAACTTTGAATTATTGTGAAATTTCGTGGCTACGACGAAACATTCATTTATTTTTAAATTTCAGTTTATATTTTGACTTCAGTTTTTGGAGGTCTATCCAACTCAATGTTAAAGCATACATGTACACCTAACAAATTTAAATCACTCATGCATGACCTTGAGTTCACTGCTCAAGGTCACTTTAGTCTATTGCTGATTTCTGATTATCGATAGTGAGAATAAAAACTTTCTTACATGAGTACGCAGTTGATGCGTATGTATCAGATGTTGAAAATTTACTCGATGTAGTGATATCTGTTACACTTGTGGATCCACAGCAATTTAGCTAAAAAATAACAAAGTAGGTTGAATCAGGAAATCAATAATTTGTATATTTTCACTGAAAATATACAAATGTAGCTATAAAATGGTAAACTGAAGATTGGTCAATATTGTTTACTGGGAATAATAAAGTGTATTTAATATTCAATAACTCAGCAATATAACTGGTTCATGTTCGTGTAAAGAAGATGTGATCAGCTCATAAATACCTCTGAATAAGAACAACAGCGATATCTTCTGAACAAGAAGTGCTTGTTCCAACTTAACAACCTAGTGGATGATATTTCATCTTGTCTCTTGAAATAGGAACTACTACACATCACAGAAAAAGGGACAAGCATGTGCAGCTGAGGAGTCTTTTGAATGTAGTAGCATCGCATCCAAACGTTGCAGTCTACTGAGCGGCTTGCAATGAAATCCAGGATGCTCTTTTACTCCCATTTGGGACTTTAGCTGGATGTGCTTGAACCTCAGTGATTGATGTTGTGCCCACTGGGGATCGAACCCGAAGCGTTATTCACAAAACAACCCGGATATGACAACTGCCCCCTTGTGCAACGAGTTTCAGACATTGTTTCACATTTGTAGCCTCCCAATGAGTACTGGAAGCAACATCACTCACTGTGGTGTAGGTACATCTAACTGACAAGTCTCTAATGGGAAAAAACCTGCGTCCTAGATTCGTATATCAGCAACCAAGCAGACCACAACAAAATGAATGTTCGGGTAGTATGGATGGATCTTCATATGAGCTTATCTACCAACAAACGTCAAACAATTTCATTCAGTATAGGACTGGTTTGTTACAAGTATCAAAAAGTATTGTATACACATATTTATTAGGCGTGTCCCATCTTATTTAGCTTCTTGAATTTTCTGCTAGCGTTTTCAAACTTATCAGTACTAGATTCCAGTAGCCAGGCGTAGGTGTGAGCTTTGGAAATGGCACCTAGACTGACTTTAGAACTTCAAAGATACTGAGGAGTCTTGAAAACCATTAAAAGATAATTACACTTCAAATTTCCATCTACAGATGACGCTCTCAGTGAACATCAGTGTGCAGTAATCATCAATTTTGGCAACAAGCCTCAAACGTTGATGTCGTCATAGGGTAACTAAGCTGGCATCACTCCAGTCCAGTGTAGTTCAACTGTCGGATGTTGACTTCATTGAAAATTTGCAGTTTTAATTAGTATTTCTCGACTAGGTGTCTTCTAAGACCATCTTTATTCATTCAAATAATAATGCGTCTACCATTACTACACGATTGTGTGTTGCACAGTGACTCAGAGAGATTTAAGTACACACAGTCCTGCCTATTATGTCTTCATTCCAAGGATGTTCACCGTCACCGTTCATATTCAACTTCATCATAGATACACTAATGAACATAAACATAAGTACGTGCGACTTAACAGGGATTGACCTGGTCCCTAGAGGTCACTCAGTTGACTTGGAATATGCAGATGATATTCTCCTGCTGTTAAATGAAGACGCTGACCTAAGGTAAAATCTTCTAAACTCCTTATAAGCACGTTTTTTGAACCTGTCAAGTGTAAGATATGGCTTCAGCACTGGTCTGAAGAAACTCCAAGCTTAATGGTAGGGACTAGAGTGGTGAGATGTGTTGACCACTTCACTTACTGGGTGAGTTGCATGAGCCCGAACAGTCTGGTTGCTGACAAAATCTCAGCTCGGATACAGAAGGCCCGTTTGTCCCTTATCGACTTGCCTCATCTGTGACGCCGACTGGCGAGATATTCGGCTATCTGTCAAAGAACGAGTATACTGCGCTGCAGTCTACTGTGGTCTGTTGTACGGCTATGAGTCATGACCGTTTAAAGTAGACTATATAAAGCTGTTGAGTGCTGTTGATTATAAGTTTCTTAGCATTATTCGAGTTTTAAAGAGTAACCGTATGAGCAATGTTGAAATCAGGCAAGTCAGTTGTTGAGTTTCTGTACATGTATCGCCTAAGATGGCTTGAGCATGTACTGCGCATCCCAATCCATCGATTGGGCCCCAGGTGGTGAAGTCCTTGACCATTGGATTGAGCTGTGTGGGGAGATGTAGACTGCTATACTGAAGTCTATGAAACGATAAGTATCAGTGGTTGAGAACTCTTGATGACATGGCTGAAAACTTGTGACGGTGGTGCACGTGTATTTCCTGCTTGACGTTCTCTGAAGCTTGAAAATTTCCACTAACCTTTATCTTCAGAATGTCTATTCTCTCACACTACCTTGTCTACTTTGATATAGCTCCTTTTCTTTTCACTTATTCCTTGTATGCTACTGTTGAACGTGGCAACTCGAACGGATTCACTTGGGTTAGACGACCTACATTGATTTTATCAGTATCAGTATCAGTCAGTTAGCCAGTCAGTCAGTTAGTTCATCGCATGGTTTCTCATTTGTAACTCCATAAATATAAAGTTGAATACACATACTACTAAATAACATGAATATCTGGATACCAGTCAGAATCGAATTCAACTCACACAGAAGAATATTTCAGACTAACTGAATCTGACCAACTGAGTTGAATGAACCGGCATAACCGGATAATCAACCTGCAAAGCATTTTAAATTTCGTGATCCTTGTTAACATTTTTCACAGCTGAACAGAGTTAGTTTTCCAACTAGTCAACAGTAGTGTCAAAAAAGTTTCCTGTAGAAACCACCGAGTCAAGATAAACAGATGGATATGATATTTGACACAAAAGTGTCAAAAATAAACTTAATTAGTGGTTAAAACTCACTCACTTTTGATACATTATTACAACCTTTCACTCCTTACTACTAAACAAAAATGAATTTCTCTAAACTTACAAGCATCATGATGGAAGCAAACAAAACACTGTTAGCATCTCCAGAGACGATAGAAATATAACCGGTAGCCCATGAGTCAATGGTTGTATCTAGCACTGAAGTAATCTTAAAGAAAACAATGAAGAAAACAATGTATAAATAGAATACTCAACTCATACTTTTGTCAGTTAAAACATAACTACTTGGCGTTTTGTTAGTAGTATATATTTTCAAAATTGCGACCAATACTTGCTGGAAAGCTTACAGTGGAAAGCTCAGTGATGCTTGTGAAGTGAAGGAAAGATTCAGACAAGGTTGTCACTTACTATCACCGATGATATTCCTGATTGTGGTCGACTGCATTATGCAACAAACTGTGAGGAGCGAGAAGGGAGGCATACAATATTTGACCTATGAAAAGACCCTAGAATTATTTGAATTTCGCCCATGATGATTTGTGTCCGATGTCGCACAAACTCAAAGATTTACAAGCAAAAGCCAACAAGTTGGTAAAAGAGGCACGGCAGCGAAGACGACACTTCCTTCAGATGAACCGTGAGAAGACAGAGATGATGAAGAAGAAGCAACAAGGAACACTGGCCTGGCAACAAACCAAAGAAACAAGAACCTATCGCCTAATAAATATGCGAAAGAAGAAAGTGGAGATGGAGTGGATTGGACATACACTGGGAAAATCATTTGAGGACACCACGCGCCAGGCACTCAAGTGTAACCCAAATGAGAAATGACGAGTTGTGAGTCAGAGGGTGACATGGAGGTGATCATGTGAGGAAGAAATGAAAGCTTGTGGGCAGTCGTGGAGCCAGACTGGAAAAGCTGCAGAGAACAGAGTTGATGGAGACGTGCTACTGAAGCCCTCTGTTCCATTCATGTCCTGATTTTCAGCGTATTTTTAAAGCTGTGCATTGCAAGGCATAATTAACAGCCTGTCATATTCAATTTACTTGACACAGTCGGATGACAAATATAGGCTGTCCACGTGGGTACCTCACTGTTCCCTAGGTCACACTCTAGCCTTAATATTGGTTGACTTCATCAATTGAAATTGCCTTCTGATATCAGTCAAGTTATATTCTCAAAATGAAGTGAACACATGAGTTTAAAATAGTGGTAAAAGAACTAAGATGGTTATTCCTAATCAATTCAGTACGTAACTATGCCTGACAAGTATTTTGTAGTTGAAGTCATATGCATTGCTTTTGTGAACGAGAATCTCTCAGATACATGCCAACCAGCAACTTGGCTTATCAAAGATCTTTGAAAATGAGCATACTCACTATAGCGTCACTAGACTCTGCGGCTAATCCGGAGTGTTCAATAGCTTGAAAGTAGTCTTCATCATGAGGTTGCGTCAATTAAGGGGACGCTGAAAAGTCTGCGGAGAAATTTCAAGCAGTTTTGTCTCAGGTTATGACTTCTCAACCAAATTCCTTCATCATCCTATGAAGTATTGTTCCTGTGACTAGCTGAGCAGTAATGGGCTTACCATGAAGCTTGGTGGTTGAACAGCTGAATCTTCGTGAGGTTGTGGTTACACATTGGTGAGGTGTTCCAAAGGAGAGTGAAATATTATATTTTCCAATAAAGGCTTACATGGTTGATGCAGTAAAATTAACATTTCCTTTCAGATGCGCAGAATGTCTTGAAAATTCTATGTCGGGAAGGAAGTGACTGAAAGCCTCTCGGTTAAAGCAACAGAGTTGATAAATACTCCATAGAATCACACACAAAAGTAAATCAATGATAATCCTGTCCTACAATTCGACTAAGGCTTATTTTACAGCTCGACTTCTATCTCCATGCTCTTTTTTACTCCAATGTTTATACTACTTTTTGGTTAGCAAGTAGTATTCCATGTTCTGTAGGATTTGTTGGTTACATAGACCACCAACTGTGATCGCACCGTAATCTATCTAGTGTTCATTTTTATTTAGTGGGTTTATTCCTTCTTCTTTGTTACCACTCCTAGCGTGTCACATTGCATATTCATGCTTATCTTGAATTCTCCACGTTGTTCTTGTCTTCGGCAAGGCATTCACAATCAACTCTGACAGGCTACAGGAAACAGACACTCCCTGTCTATTTATTCTTCAAGGCAGTTCATTTGGGATTCATTTAATCATGTGATCAGCAACCAGCAACCTGACGATACAGAACTTTTATTTTCACCAGTTACGATCGTAATTTGCTCCTCCATCAGCCAAACCACTGTAATTTGCTAACATCTAGCGTTCTTCACCCGAGATTTTACACATAAACATTCATCGATCAGTAGAGAGCAGCGAATCTCATGTTGTCTAGTCTTGTGTGCAAATCGATTTCTATCGACCATTTCAGGTAACATGGTTGCGATCGTAGCTCACCATCTCAGCTCACTTTGGTAGATGTTAGTTGGTTAAAGGCAACTGGCAGTCAGATCTGGACCTAGGTTTCAGTCTAGTTGACATTAGTCAGCAAAGTGTATCTCATCCTCAAGGGAACTGAAGTCCCCTATGAGATCGGAAACAGCGTCACTGGTTGTTACAGTCGACTAAAATAATTCAAAGAAAATCTGAACTGTGTATGTACAAAACTTTATGCACACAGGCAGTCATCCGCCACAACGTCAAAGATAAGGTCTCATTGTTGGCAACATCCAGACATGCTTATAAATACACTTGCTCCTGAGGAGCCAAGTGCATGGGCAGTGCGAGCAGGATACTTTGAAGATGTGGTTCGAAACATCTACCTAAATGTTTATTGGAAACAGAATTCAAGTCAATAAATAGTTCTACTTTGGAATATATTATTCTATCAAGTCATGCAGCATTTGTACATAGCTCATACAAAGCAAAAAATGAGTCATTCAGAAGGATTTCAATAAAGTCCCCTGTTTTTGCAGTGTAAAATCTGTCTTATCACAGAGAAGAATCCTGAAATCTGTGAGGATATGCATTTCGCTTGGTCCATTTTTGCTACCTTAACCTTGGTTTCACGCTTCTATAACTTTCATCCAACAATTTTCTTTGCAGTCTACTACCATTTCCTTTCTTAAACCAAAACTCTGCTGATCGGAGTCCTTCTCGTCTTCATTTTGTCCCACCACATCTTCAACAAACGCCTTTGAGGTGTATCCGTTATTCTATATGAAGACAGCTTTGTTGCGTATAACCAAATTAAGAGAGTTTCACTGCAATTATCCTCTCTGCTCCCAGTTCCTGGTAGTACCTCGTCTGCACAGACGTCATTATCCTAAAACCTCGATTGAATTGTCCCCTCGCCGAACAAGAAACAGCTAGAGCAACGCAACCATATGAGAAGGAATAATACTGTCTGGGCATTGTGTTAACAGTCCTGCAAACGGTCAGTGAATCTCAAACCTTCCACCGTCTAGGCTTCAACGCATCCATATTCGCCAGGTAATGAGATCGTTTGAGTATACTCACCGCTCCGTTACAAGACGTGTGTGAAATAATTCCCACTGAGTCTTCAAAATCCTTCAAAAATGCAGCTTACTTTCCTGGAAGATAGCAATCCTCGTCTCACCATCATTTCAAACACAAATGCTGCTCCCATAGAACCCGCTGTAGACCACAGGTAAGCTGTTCCATCCTTGCTTTGAAGATCGGCTCCACTGAACAGCGCACATATATCTCATCCAGTGCTGTCACCACTAAGTCAACTATGATGTAAACGGCAGCCCAAATGCTAAAAGCAATCTACAACTCCGTGCAGAGCTTCTTCACGTTGATGACTTGGTATATAACTATCACAAAGCATTTGACTGCCTCGAGAGAGTCACAGTTAAGCTTACTTCTCAAGTGTATAAAATAATTTTTCTCCACATAGCTTTGTTACGTAAGACCATTTTGGTGTTTGCTACCTCATACTATTTTTATCTTCTAATTCAGATTTCAATATGTTTTGTAACCAAGTGACGTTGGTCTTCAGTCCTCCTTAGCGCTATTCAAGATATCTTGCAACCACTACACAACCCGAGGTTTCAAATGGATTTTAGTTTTACGGCTGTTTTCATCACAGCATGACGCCATTTGAAGAATCGTTGAAGAGCTGGAAGCACTGATTAACCATCGTGTCCCAGCTCGGAACTCAGGACCTTCAGATTTCAAGGTGAACGCGTTAACTATTCAAATACTTTGTCCAGTGCTATATGATGAATATTACCCAAACCATACTAATAATTCACAATTTAACTAGGTAGTTGTAAAATCAGCGGCTTACCAGTGTTGGCTGAACTTCGTAGGTGATGATCAAAGCGATATGGATGACCACGATAGCCACGAGAATAGCAAGGTACTTTACATGTTTTTCCGATCATGCAGACGGCAACATGAGTGGTGCAGAAGAAAACACACAGAAAAAGAAAGACGAACGAGAATGATGAAGGTGAACAAGACAGTTTCAATGAGCTGATCAATCTGTTCTTAAGCGACTCTTACTGTAAAAATGAACATTATTTGTTGATACTCGTGATTCATCGTTGTTATACTGAATCGAATCGCAGATTGGTACCCATGAGGACCCCTCGATACTGTTCAGATATTCATTAAGTTTTAGTCTATAGGGTGGCTAGCAGGGAAATCCAGGATGCGCGATTCTTTTTGTTTATATCTCATTCGTCAACTGGGTGTACGTTTATCTACCCCAGTAAGTGATGGTATCCCCATTGGAACTCCATCTGCACACACATCACTTCAAACGTCATGGTGCTATCCAATAGGTCATAAGCGAACTGAGGCAGTCCTGTACAAGAGGTAGCCATAATGCCTGTCTATTTGTAGGCTTCAAGTCTCGGTGGAGCAATCGTCTGTTACTGGGATGCAGGAACTTCCTTCTTACAAAACCCGGATGGAATGAAATGTACATGCTGTATTCTACTGCTACTCACCATCAAGTTACTTCTAAACTAACAATGACACTCCAACCATTGTATTGTGTTTACAGTATGTCCAATGAGAAACGTATTATCCCGAGCACGCTGCATTGTTACAAGTTGAATATTAAAAAGCCAATTGGCACACTGGAAGATATCAGTGATCACTTCTGATTTCCAATGAACTCTCGATCAAAATTAAACTCCTTCAAAACGAGGAATAACTTCTTTTACTGAAATGATTGCATGGCATTCTCCTAGTGCATAAGTTACTGGGACAATATTTCGGTTTGTGATTACATTTTAGTCTGATTTGTCACATACAGTGGAGGAACAGTATTATTAACTGGATTTCGCTTAGGACATATATCATTGTTCGTATTCAAAACAGGTAACTCCACAACTTAGAGACATTGTTTACATAGTTCCAATCCTCTCTACTTCTTTGTGACAAGAGTAGTAGAAGTTCTCATATATATGGGACAGGTACAGACTCATTTCTTATTGAATGTGTTTGGTGTGGATCTGATTAACAAAGATTCGTTTATCAATCTCTCCGTCCCTCCACCCAACTAAGTTAGTTTTTAATGTTGTCGTTGTATCCCACCCTACTGTATGATTGTGTGTAATGGCGTGCATAGTTGTAGCCAAGTTTTTCTCCGAATCACTTATCTTATAAGAACCTACTAATCTTGACTTAGCTAAGCTTTTGTGCTCTGTTATTCTAAATGACGCTGTTCGACCATTTCAGCCTAAGTATTCAGTCTCACAATCATTGTCAGGGGTTCGGCAAACTGAATTATTCTGTTCATAAGGATCAATAGGATCTTTTAATCTGCAAAACTTGTTCCTAAGCTAGTTTGTTGGTTTAACTAACACTGTAATCCCAGTCTTGTTGAGCATTCTTCATAATGCTTCTGAGATACCTTCTTGATAAGGCAACACAACTGAAGCTCTTAATTCTCTCACAACTCTGTCAGCATTATTGTTACTGTCATTTCTATTATTAGTAAAATTGTTGTTAATAACACTCTCCTTCCTACTACTACTACTACTACTACTACTACTACTACTACTACTACTACTACTACTACTACTACTACTACTACTACTACTACTACTACTACTACTACTACTACTACTACTGTTGGTGTTTTTCTCTCCGTCTTTTGTCAATTTGTTGATAAATTTATATGGGTAATTATTAATACGTAAGGTATTCTTTACATTTCTTATTTCTTGTCTCAGATTCTCTATCCTACTGGTTAAGTGTTTCTCTTTAGTACCGCGGCATTTAACTAGGCCTAATTTGGCTGAGAGGGCGTGGGATGGTTTGAAGTCAGAGTAGCGATTCGAATGGCAAGAATTCCTTGAGACACTAGCCTCCAAACTTCTATCTTGCTTTTGTTTGATCATGTAATCCAACACTGCTAACTCATTCGCTTTCACTTTCAAGTCACAGATGAATGAGATTGTGCTCAATATTGGATTTAAATGTGTAAAATAACTGTTGACATGCTCCGATTTCAGTGCTGTGAATGTATCATCCGCATATCTAAAGCATATTTCCAAAGTAGGACTAAACGTCCTAAGGCGTTTCCATACCCAACTATCCATAAATATGTTTATGACGATAGTTGGGATATTGGTGATCCCGTGAAACGCCTTCTGCATCTGTCTCAGATACATGGAGAGTATTACTACTCTTATCGCAAAGAGGAAGAAGGAATCAGAAGTGCATAATCTATGTCTCAAATTTGTGGAGTGAAAACAGTTACTGGCTAATCATTACGCCTCACTGTGGCTTAACGCTTCAACTTATGTATAACACTCAATTAGATTTATCGTTGGTGCTGCCGTAATGACTGTTAGCTGTGAAGCCTACAAGCTTTTGCTTCTATAATACACTCGCTTTAGTGCATTCACAAAACAGCTAACCAACATTTCTAGACAACTAAGATACGAGTATTGGCTGCTGACCAGATTCGTGGTTCACTTCAGTATCCAAGGTTTTGCCTGACTGTTATGTGAATTCTTGATGTGCCGCCACCGTTTGATGATACTGACACTGACTGCTCAATCAGGAATTTCCATACCCGTCCAAATGTATTTGAATTAGAGAGAAGGAGCATCATTATGATTGTCATTTTGAATATCTGAGATTATTGATACCGGTGATGATTGAAGGTGAAATGAAAATCGAGGCAATTGGGGGAACTGAACTAGCGACCACTGACCAAGCGATAGCAACGCATCACGAAATCACTCAGCATTTGTTTCTCATAACTCACTTGGTAGAGCACTGGGTAGAAAACAACGTTGTCGCTTGTTCGGATCCTTCAGTGGCCCAGATATCCATTCCATCTTCAGTAACCACCCAGTATCAATGATACAAGTTTGTCGAACCATAAATGCTATCTCAGGTTGTCAAATTGATAATTTCTGCGTATAATGCCTTTCACGTAAATAACTTATTTATGTATCCACATTACTTAAATATAGAGAATAAGAATAGTAGTGACGTAGGACATGAAATGAAATCAACTTACCAGTCCAAGACAGACCTTTGATTTGCAACATACGCCAACGATGCCCAACAGACAGAGTGCCATGATTATTATGCCCAAAACAAAGATGATAACACCAATCGGCTCTAATAAATGAGATGAGACAAGATGATTCAGACAGGAAAACAGAACTGTGGACATGCAGAACTAGGGAAATATTCATTAAAGCACCAACGCTAGTGGTCAGTTATAACATCAAAACGTGATGTGTAATAGTGTATGAGTGACTCCGTTCAACAAGGCAGACATTAATTACCCCGAATGGAAAACAGTGGTAAGTGGATCTCTTTTTACTTGTTTCCAAATTGGTGCCGAATTGATATATGGTGGGTAATTGTTAAATTATTCTACACATTTCAGTGTTTCCTAATCTCTTGGCTTTATTGTCAGTTGTGCTTTTGTTGAAAGGAAACCAAGTAGAAGGGCAGTTTGTTTTTGATTTGACAGAGGTGTGTTATGAGCCAAGAAAATCTACCACAGGACAACAGTTTGTGTGCCTATAAAATAGTCTTTATAATTTATTTCAAGAGTTGATTTCGTTTCGTATAAATATCCCTGAAGATTAATTCGTAGATAAATAAATCAAAGATGTACCATGAAATGTTACAATGCAAATCAACCATGAAATGAATACTTCACGTTTCAATTTTTGACTGGTACTCCTGTTTAGTGCAGGATGATCTTAAGGAACAGGTAGGTGTTTAGTTGAATCAATCAACATGAGTTATTTAGCCTTCTTTTTACTGCTTTGACGCGCATTATTAGATTCCCTCTAACATGAAAAATTGTTTCAATGGTCACACACCAGCCATTAGCTTCTCACCCTTTTTCTGAGTCAGTGAAGAATAAGATAATCGGAGGCATAATCACCATTCCTATACACTTTGAGTAAATGCTTGTCATACATCTATATACATCACAAAATTCACTCAATCACTTCATATTCCAACTAAAGGATGAATATAATTTTGACGCCTTTTCACTTACTTGTAAGTGAAATGATGTTGCTAGTCAGTGTGGCTGCATCAGCAGACATTTTACCCGAAGAGGCTGTAGTTATTGTAGATACCAGGGTGTTACTCACTATGCTTGTTATCACGGTTGAATTCCATGCCACTAGTCCACCAACAATAGCAATAGCAATGGATATGGTCTGTGGAAAAAGAAGAAGAAGAAGATATAATAATTAAGACTAATGTTATGATGAAGGAACTTATTTAGTACTACACGATATTACTACTTACCTTGTGTGGTACCAGTAGTTGTAATGGTAGCGTGAAAGGTAGTGGTATGAGTATTAGTAATAATAGTAGTACTAGTGTAGTGGACGTTGCTGACAAGAATGGATATAAGTAGTATATGTTGGCAGGGCGGCAGAAATTATACGGAATTACCAGCAGTGGATAAGGATTTTGCCCAGAGAAAAGCAACATACAACGAGGGCGTATTGAGAGCAAACCAAGAGAGAGAGAAGCAGACGAGGAAATGAAGCACATTATGCAAAGGACTGTCTTAGTGTGGGGTGTACCATATTTAAGGACTACTAAAACACAAGTTAATAATAGACATTCCTTTCTGCATCTCTGTCTTCTCGTCTCCTTCAGTAGTACTGGTATTATTACCATTAGTATTAGTAGTAGTAGTAGCAGTGGTAGTAGTCGTAGTGATACTAATATCAATGGTAAACCTGACGGATTTCCCGTGGTAAAATTAAGAATGATTTCTACTTTCCTTAAGAGGCTTGTAACAACTTTCCGGCGGAGATTGGATTCTTCAATTTTTCTGGTCGACGAAGAAACTCTCCACTGAAACTCGTCATCTCAATTCCCTTTGGTGATTGAGTATCAAGTAAATTTCTGTCTCCTCGAAGGAGGTTTGGCTATCTTGCGTCATATATGTTTTATAATGCCCACTTCTTAAGTTTGATATGTTTGTTTGAGAGAATTAGGGAACTGTGCTCAGAAACAACCATCTGCGAACACTCACACATATTAACAAAATTGTTTCGAGAAAATGGATACCCAAAGTGCTTTATCAAACAAAATTGAGAAAGATCAATGAATGGATCTGTTATTTCTACCTGTTTTCACCTTCGATACCTTCGGTTTAAGGATGGTTTTGTGATTTGAATGAAATGTACACCTTTTGCACTTTATCAATCCACTAGCTATTCAGGCTGTGCAAGTAAAGGGTACTGGTAACCATATTAAGGATGGATAGTGGCAAACCCGGAATCCAAAACGCCTGTTTCTTCCTATTTGAATCGTATCAGTTGGGTGTACACCTGTTTACCTGTGAGTGATGTTATCATCACTTAAACTCGAAGCAAGAACTAATCGCATCAAACGTCAGAGCGCTATGCGCTAGATCACTGCGTCACTGCTGATGTGACGGTATAGAATCGTTTTTATACCCTAGATTGTAATTCCTTGGTCATACTGGCAATTTCAAGGCCTCTGCACAGCCGCCCATATACCAGTCGTGACCGACGAATTCGGTCTCGTAGACGACTGAAAATTAAACGCTATAGTATCTAGAGGAAATTACTAACAGTCTGCCAACTGACCTATTGAAATAACAGGAGTATCACCAGTCTAGCAGTATATTCTATCGAGTTAATCTAGCAATTTTGGTTGTGAATACAGTCGAGTTGTTTGAAAATTGAATAAGCCGACAGGAAAATCGCTTTCTAAAGCTCATCATTTAAGTAAAAGTCGATTATCTCGATAGTATTGCTCTTTTTTCTACAGAACAACAAAGGAAAATAAGCAAACTCACCAGAAAGATACTATTGATTACTGTTAATATACAACCACAGGAGCACATTGTTCTTTATTGTGTTTTCGTTTTCTTCAAGTAAACACTTTTCAATAACTGAAATTGTTTCGGACAGATCACATGTAGAATGAATTACTGGAATTCGTTTTCAAGAATCTCAATTTCGTATAATTTGAGAATACAAAAGGTAAAAAAACTGTAGGTAGGTGTGTAGGAATAGAAATTGTATAGAATTCGCCATCGAATTTTAAGATGTAGACTGGACAATGTGTAGTTGCTCACTTTTCATTGAACAGTCAATGTAGCAAATCCAGTCGTGCAGGCGTTTAGTCACAGCTTAAGTAGACTAGTGGTAATGTTTTTGACTACAGCACGAAGCGAGTCTCAGACGGAATGTTAGTTCTTTCGATTTCCAGATACTCCTTACTGACGATTGCCTAAGAGTATGAGACCTCTGTCAAGCTGGGCATCCTATCGATTGCCTCGATTCAACCAATACCATTTCCAAAATCAGCAAGTTTAAGATAGCTTCAAAGAACTAAACACTAGACACTACTGTGAGGCATCCGACCAGTAAAAAAGCATATCACGGAATAAATATGTGTACTGACAGAAAACTTGATACTGGATTGGGCAGTTGGTTATACTCAAATCAAGCTCCTGTCGAATCGGTGAGGGCCTGAAAAATAGTCGACTAAAGTCAGTAGTCTATGACTTTCAACTGTAGGGAGGGCATTTTAGTGTTTTCATTGTAAGGGAACAAGAAATGTGATCTTGACTCATATAGGGAATCTACCTGACAGCTGCAAGCGAACCTGTCAATGGCTGTATGTATTCACCTTCTTTATAATATCAAAGCTTTAGCTATTTACCTGGGAAATTCAGATCTTTCAATGGAAAAAAGACTAGTTCAATCTCTTCTGTTTCCATGGTGTTAATCTTTAATGATTCAAATCAACCATTTATACTCATTTTTACATTCGATTGAATTTCAATTATTACTTGTTTTTCTGACATTTGATGGGAGTTATTAGTGAGACTCCTTCTGAAGTTTATCAGAATGCATAAAATCCTACCTAGCTGGAATACTCCCGGGAAAATGTGTACCCTTCATACACTGATGGTTGTGCCCTACTGGTGAAATGAAAAATATGTCTAGGTATATTTTCTTGATGCATGTTAAGAATTCACCCGGAAGGTAGTTATCTTTACTTGATGTAGGGTGTACTCGCATTGGTACTAACCCAGCAAGAAATATTCCATTAGATGAGTTTACCTTCTGTAGGAGGAAGTGGTTAGAACTCATGTCGCACAACTTTATTAGATCTGCTTTTCACATAGTTAAGTTATTCAGTTCACTAGTTATGAAATCTGTGAAGCTCATCATTTGCTGAAATATCTTACATTGGTTTCCTACAGAAACCAATATATTCATATTGCATAATGTTATGTGCTTGACCGCAGAAAAGGACCTAGAAGATTTGGATTTGCCGATGATGATCTGTGCCCAATGTCACACAAACTTGAAGGTCTACAGGCGAAAACTAACAAGTTGACAGAACAGGCAGGGCAGCTAAAGAAGATGGGACTTAAAGTGAATGTAGAGAAGACGGAGGTGATGAAGATACCCAATCAACCCCAACACCACCACCACCACCACCAACGACAACAAACACCAGTCACCATGAACGAGAGAAACTTCAAGGAAGTAGCCTCCTGCACTTATCTAGGCAGCACTGTTTCAGCCACAGGCGGCACAGGCACAGACAAGGACGTCAAATCCAGCCAGGATCGGAAAAACAGCAAGACAGGCTTCCATTAACCTGAAACCAGTGTGGAGATCTTCTGTACTGCGCTCAGCATAAAGCATGAGCAACATCCCGATTTTCAACACCAACGTCAGTCAAGTCAGTGCTTCTGAATAGCTCAGAGACTTGGCACATTATGGAAGGGATTTCCAACAAACTACAGACATTCATCAACAACTGCCACCTACGCTCACTCGATACTGAAGATCAGATGACCAGAATAGTAAGAGTAAGCAACAAGGAACTCTGGGAACGAACCAACGACGCAAGAAGCTATCACGCAACAAATATGCACTGGAAGGAAGTGATGGATTGGGCATACACTAAGAAGGCTGACTGGGGACATCACAGGCAAGGTCAAGCCATCGAGTGGAAGCCAGATGGGAAGCGACGAGTTGGGCGTCCGAAGTGACGGTGACATGGAGGAGATCTTGTGAGCAAGAAATGAGAGCTTGGGCTGTCGTGGAGCCAGGTTGAAAAGATTACAGAGAAGAGAGTGGAATAGAGACGTGCTACTGAATTCCTATGCTCTATTAGGAACCGAAGGGACAAATAATGATGTAATAATTATGTCATGTGTTTGACAGCACAATCGTGTTCAGACTGTGAGCATAAAAGCTGGTGATCTATGTGAGTGGAGTACAACTATTCATACCATTGAGTAATATATCCCGTACAGCTAACATATTACCTACCTTGAAACTGACTTCGTTGTCAAACAGATGACATTTTGTGGTCCAAATGTTTTGGCTTGCATAGGCAACCAGCGTTAGACTTCTCGCCACGGAATGAGTGTTTTGCAAACACCTGATTCGGCTCAACTCCGTCAAAGTGGCTAAGCAGAATCACAGTGTTTTGGACAGTTCTGCTGTCTGAACTGTATCATACTAGGTAAACCACTGATGAACTCCACCACAGACGAAAAAGTAAAGAAAAACCAGCTATTTTTAAACATCAAAGCATATAAGAATAAAGACTTGGATAGTGTTCAGCGCATACCATTGCAATGATAGATAGTACGCTACTGATATCATGAATTGTGATACCTTATCCAAGACACCGTAGGACGTGAAGATATAATCCAGTGGTTAGCATTTTGAAAAGTAAGGAGTGTATGCGTTTCTTCTTTTCCTCTGATAGATCACCCTACAAGTAAGGTAAATCATACTAGTTGTATCCTTACGAATCAATCCATGTTATAATCATGGATTAAAGTGTTACAGACAAAAAGGTTTAAGGTTCAAAGGATGCGGGGGGGAAGGGAGGCTTATTCATTTGTTCAAGTTTGTAGACAAACTCTACTTATGAGTGAAAAGGATCATAAAACGTAAGTCGAATCCGTCTTCCCATAGACTAAATCCTTATATAAAGTACTACATCGTTGCGGTTATCAACCTATGACTAATTCATGTATAAAAGCAAACAAGTTATCAATCAAAATATTTGCAAACAAATTGGAAAGTGTCTACCTCAATATCCTGAAGAAATAATAATTGAATACTCACATTTCTGATACTACTTTTAACTCTAAAAATAAATTCTCTCCAAAGTATAATGTGCCGAGAAAATTCAGAAGAATTTTGTGTAGATAAGAAAAATAATTTCTAAGCAACTGTTTGCGTGGTTACGAATCACCATAACAACAAAAAGCGGCCGTTCAGACTGATATTGAATCATTTAACATTGTTTAAATGGAATAAACTACTGTGCGTACTTTGATTATTTAAGTAGTATATAGTTGAATTATGAAATACTGGTAGCTGCAAAGAAATACTTATTTTGTCTGTGTGTCCATGATAACTCGCAGGATTCGGTGTTTTATCTATAATTCATAATAATAATAATAATAATAATAATAATAATAATAATAATAATAATAATAATAATAATAATAATAGTAATAAAAATAATAATGAAATTTAAGGTCAATGATTAGGCGATTGAACTTCATAACAGAAACAGCAAAGTATCTAAAACATCACTCTATCGAAAGGTATAATTTACCTTGTGTGAAGAAACTTGTGTGGAAGGACACTGGAACTGTTTGAAAGAGACGTGGAAGAAAAACTGCATAACCTTGTTAGCAAGCAAAACGAAACAAGACAAAGAATGGATCTCAACAGAAACATGGAAGCTGATAGAAGAGGGAAAGGAAGAAGATGAAGAAGATGAATCAGTGGAGTGTGGTGCACGGATGAACAACGGAAAGAGGAACTGAACACAACCTATGAAACACTACATTAGACAAAGAAGTGAAGAAGAGTACACAGAAAGACAAAAGACACTTGCATGACACACTAGCAAGTGAAGCAGAACAGGCTGCAGGTAGGAGAGATAGAGACCTGACAACACTATATCAAATAACTAGATTACTATTCAGGAGGAGATCAACACAGCACAGATGAAAACAATGAAAGATAGTGAAGGAAACTGAGTTATCATCAAAGAGGAGAAACAGAATAAACGATTGGGTGACCACTTCATGAAACTCTTGATTCGACCACCACCTGCACTTCGCCCAGAAATACCACCAGCAGCCCAACCACAGGATTACCAGTGAACATAAGCCCTTGACAAAAGTCGAAGTCCTGAATGCCATAGAGTTACTGAAATGTGGGAAAGCAGTAGGTCTAAATGGAATCTGGCAAGAAACACTGAAAACAGATACAGAGACACCAGCGAACATGCTCACACCACTATTGCAGAAGATTTGCAAGGAAGGAAAGGTAACTGCTGATCGATTGTAAGAAGGGCTACCTTGCCAAACTCCCAAAGAAGGGAGATCTAAGCGTTTGAAAGAACTGGCACGGAATCATGCTCCTGCCCACCCTCAAGCAAGCAAAATATTGAGCCGCATCATCCTGGAGAGAGTGTAAGATGCGCTGGATTCAAAACGTCGACAGGAGCAGGCAGGCAGGCAGGCTGGCTGGCTGGATTCAAGAAGAACAAATCATGTGAGGATCAAATTGCGACGCCACGCATCATAATCATCATCATCATCATCATCATCATCATCATCATAGGAGAGAGAATAGAATGCCAGTCAACTGTACCTGTACCTATGTTTGTACCTCAACTTCATCCACTGTGGAAAGGCCCTCGACAGCGTCGACCGAGCAGTAATTTGGCAAGTAGCCGCTCAACACTAAGGTTTTAGTGCCACAAATCTGTATCAACCTCATTCAACAGCAGATATATGATGACGCCACATGCCAAGTGATTCACAATGGAAAGCTCAGGGATGCCTTTGAATTGAAGACAGGAGTAAGATAAGATAGGCTTCCGCCTACTGTCTTCGATGATCTTCCTGATTATGGTCGACTGCACTGGACTGGATTGGACTGGATTATGCAGGAAATTGTGAGGATCGAGAATATGGGCAAATGCTGTTTGACCGATGAAAAGACCTTGGTAGATTTGGATTTCGCCGATGATGATCTGTGTCTAATGTTGCACAAACTCGAATATGTACAGGGAAAAACCGAGGAGTAGGCAAGAGACGCTGGGCAGTGAAGACAGTACTTCCTTCAGGTGAACGTAGAGAAGACAGAGGTGATGAAGATAATTAACCGCCACCAACAACAATCACCAATCACCATGAGCGATAGAAATCTGAAGGGAGTTGCTTCTTTTCCCTACCTTCCCAACATTGTTTCAACTACAGGGGGCGTCACGAATGAGTACGTGAAAACCAGGATAGGATGTGCAGCAAGACAGGCCTAATTGAACCTGAAATCAGTGTGGACATCTACTGCACTCAGCACAAACAACGAGATCCGGATTTTCAACACTAATGTCAGTCAAGTCAATGCTTCTATGTGATGATTGAGAGACTTGGCGCATTACGAAAAGCATTTCCAACAAACTGCAGCCATACACGGACAGCTGCCACCTACGTTCATTCCATACTGGAGATCAGATAAGAAGGCGAGGAAGAATAAGCAAGAAGGAACTCTAGTCTGTCAAAGAACCGAACAAGAGCCCATCGCCCAAGAAATATGCAGAAGAAGAGAGTGGAGATGGATTTGTTTGGGCATACTCTGAGAAGATCGATTATGGACATGACGCGTCTGGCCAGTTCCTCGAGTGGAACCTGAATGGGAAACGATGTTTGCTGAACTTTTCGCTATAAAACTGAGCTCCTTAGAGTTTGTCAATCTTTTCTCACCTAGGTTTCATGTGTTCAGCTAGCCTAATTGACCTCGTTCGTCTGGTTCAACCTTTTTACTCAACTTCACATTGTATGCTATTCAGCTGAGTAAATGATTTCATATTGCCGGGTCAGTGAAGTCCCTAGATTAACAGATGCCCTCTTTCAGTGAATTCCCTTAACGATTGGATTGTATACAACACAAGTTGTTCACTAATTAGTTACCGATGTAAATAGCTGTCTCGTCATTAATACTCACCACTGACTGGAGTTAAAAGATGAAGTTTGCGGGTGTAAACTACAATGTACCACAATATTACATCATCTGAAAACTTGATGGATAGATGTTGATGAGTGCTGTTCACTAAAGAGTTGACAGTGACATAAGTTAGTCACCTTAGAATAATTTGTGTCCATCAGCATTTCGGTCAAGATTTTCCCTGCAAATTAACAAAAGTATGTGAATGTCTAGTCGACAGAATTATTAAGATTAACGGATGATTTCCTAATAAATAATTGTAAAGCCAGACAGAGGCCTACTCAGAATATATGTTCGTCTCAAACTCAGGTCCCCTAATTATCACTGTGGGAATATTGAAACTACTCTGTTAATGCTTATCCTATCCTAAGTTTGTCTTCAAATCATGTCATTCTCCCTTCATTATCTTTCTTATTATTAAATTCCATTAGTTCATATTTCTCCTCCCCACACTTCCACTTTTCATATGCTAATTACCTACACAAGTGGTCAGATTATTCGAATTGCATAGCTCAAGTGAATCACATTTTTCAGATAATCTACGTCTTCGTATTAGGTTATCGAAAGTCTACTACATTTTCCAGCATTCGTTATGGCTGACAATTTCTTGCCAATCTGATGACCATCTATGTGTACGTTATTTTCTTCACATATAGCCAGTGTGTTTTCGATTATAAGAAATGAGGATGGAACTGGGAATTTGGTAAATTCATTGATTGCATACTGAAACTTTTCTGTAAGAAACATTGTGCTACTAGCTTCATATAAGTAGACAAGATTCGTAAACAAAAGTTGTGTGTAAACTGCAAAGTAGATTTGGGCATGTTACCGACCATAGACAAAATTCATACTTGTCTCATTCACGTAACCTCTAGCTTGTTTGTTACTGTTCCACATGCTGAAATGGTGAAGTGATAATGAATCAAGTGATTTCGAGCAGAACCGATGTAGCTTGTTAGGCATAATCTAGTTTGCGGACCACACCGAACTATTATCATGCTCATATGATGTGGTAAATATTTTTTTTAATTTCCTAGAGTTTTCTGAATCAGCATACGAAATAACTTGTGTGGTCTACACCACCGAAGCACAAGCAGGATGTGTGCATTGAAGCATCATATAGTAAAGGCTTAATGTAAGAGGGTCACGTGTACACCCTAGTAGAGTATACTTCCATAATATATTGTTTATTTGATATAGGACACAGTGACGCAGTGCAGTTTTCTGGATGACGTTCCAGCAGGATTTATTGCTCTTATTCATATTTATACTTAAAGTATGACAGCACGAAATAGCTGAGTCTTTTCATCTTTGCAAGCATTTACGAGTTTCAACCCTTCAGTTAAATTCGCACTCAAAGTTGAAATGGGATCAAATATTCCATTCTTCGTTGTAGAACACACCAGGCAAGATAACATGATATCGAGGATGTCTATCAACGGAAAACTGCATGAAATGGGTGGCTGGTGAATTTGTTTAGTTGGATATCTATAGGTCGAAAAAGAACAATTTTCATGTCCATTGACACATGAATTCGGAAAATTCGCAATAGTGATAGCTTACAAGAAGAACTCCTGTTTCTCAAAAAGAGAACAGATATCTGGCACGATTTGTGGACAAAAACGTAAGACTCAAACTGCAGAGAAGGATAACTACTTCGGTTCCGAAGAAGATATTACGCATGAATCTCGACTTCAAATGTGAAGTTTCTGCCGATATTTAGAAAAGAAGAATTTCAACTTCGCTATAACAAGCTTTCTTCGCCCAGCTTTGACGACTGTATTCTTCAGTCGTCATGCTTTTACTGGTGACCGAAAGCATGACGTTCTATATCTAATCTTTCCATGTGTGCTGATCAATTCATTTGCTACTATGAAGCTAGGTATACAGATCATTTGATGTACATTCCTTACAAACGGATTAGAAAACTTTACTTCGCCTTGCTGTAAAGAGTTACAAGTGGACCAACCAGAAGTGCAGTAGTTCAATACCTTGTCAACATTATTCACAGCGCTGCAACTGACTCAGTGTTCAAAGTCATCCATCAAGGCATTGAGGCATCTGCATCGGAGCCCATCTGCTAAAACAGAGGTCGTGTTTAACCATGTAATATTACAAGTATGAGACAGCAACTGATACCTGTTGGAAAAAAGACGGATATCGTGCCCCAGTGGATAACGCTTTGTCACCTGAAGTAGTATATAGTGGGTTTGAGTGCCAGTGAGAGAAACATCACTCACGGAGGTGGGTGTAGATACGGTTAGCTGACGAGTCCCTAACAGGACGAAATATGCATTGTGAATCCCACTAAAAGTCACTAAGGTGATCACAAGGTGAAAAGAAATCCAGTGAGAGTACCGCATTGTTGCCTTCTTTGTACTGGGGAAGCTCTTACCATATGCATAGAAAAACCGAAATTGGGTGTACAGAAGAAACTTGTTCATTCTTTCTTACTTTCTTGAACGTAGTAAATTGGTAAAAGATACATCGACCTCTATCTGTCCCTCTCATCTTTCAAAATGATGCCACTGAACAAATGCAACGAAACTTCAACTAGACTCGAAAGAAAATGAAGAGTGAGTCTATCATCATCAGCTCCAAACTATTTGAGCAATTTCAATCCTCGTTTATATAGTCTCCTGTGAGTACGCAAAGAAGATATTCCCCTGCATTCAGTTTCGGACAGGACCAACTTACCATACCATGCTATCATCAAACGGCTGTTGAACAACCTCCAAACAGTCAGAAAACAGCCGAATGCGCATAGCGTATTGAATTCTTTCGAGGTTTTCGATCCACTTAATGTCCATGTATTCGGTAAGCAATTGATATCTCTTGGTGTGATTTCTTTCTTTACCAATGTTAATCCCAAGGAAGCTATCTGTTTTCTATGAGACTTCATTAAAGAAAATAGTTTTCACGAATAAATGGGAACACTAATTTTCACGTGGGTATCGCAAAGGACATGGTATCTGGCAGGTGTTTTAGACTCTCGATAAAACTCTAGAAATCCCACAGCCCACTTCTGTTACCTTTCGCTAATCAATCAATGGCTACCAAGTACATCAGTTCTTGTGACACTACCAGTTTCACTACAAAACTTAGAAGTGTAAGGTACCGTCAGAAAAGACTGTTAACCGGTGACGAACTTAAACAAATAATACATGCTTATAACATATGTCACCTGAATACGGGCTTTCTGTAACTAGTCATTGCTCAAATGTCTTGCTAGCCATCAGGTAAAATCACACAATTCTGCTTCTGATGTACTTACTCACTTCAAACTGATCATATTCATAATCATGCCAGAAGCATGAAAGCACCAAACTCCCGAGTCTGTTATCTTCACAAGGATTTACCAGTTGCTAGCCATCAGGTAAAATCACACCAGAAACAGAAAGAGGATCAAGTATTCCTTTCTTCGACTCAAAAAACACCAGAAAAGAGGATAGTATATCTAGTGTGACTAACCTCAGGTACACTGAAAGAAGTAGGCATCAGATGAAATTCTACAGCGTAGTTCCTATCTCGAATGACCAATTGTAATATATTTGGTATTATTTTGCCAAACTAATCATACTTGGGAACTAGTTTGCCTTCAAGTAACCGAAGTTCCAGAAGAGAAATATGGTTCGCATTGAACATTAATATGCCGAAGGCGTATGAACTATCGGAAAATCGCGTCAAAAAGACAAACAAAAAAACAAAATGACAAGAATCAGAATTAGAGCCGTGTATAAGAAAACATTGAAGAAAATTGAGTTTCAAAGGCCAAATCACAATGTTTATCAGATTTGTAATTTTGTGATAATCTGGTCGAGGTCAACAGTTGGTGAACAGAGTTTGTTTTAATGAAACGTGGTGAGAGAGTATTGGTAATGCGACCTTTATCACTACACATACCATTGTAATTAGGAGTGATCATTCTAGAGGTAGCAAAATCACTTGTATGATGTGTGGTTTGCTGGCTAAACAGAAGTAACTGAAAGAGTAATTATGACTTTCTGCCTTATTGTGATAGCGCATTACATCAACACAATAACACTGAGGACCATATATTAATAGGAAGAATGGTAGATGCTGTGAATAATAATAATAATAATATAATAACAATAATAATAATCATGATGATTCTCTTTATGCCAAACAATTTATGGTACAATTTGGAATTCTCAGCATGATATATTGGAACAACAACAAAATATAAGAATATACATACTCCTTTACAACATTCCGATTTGTGTTGCCATTAAAATTTAATTAATGTAGAGAATAGTAAAAACGAGAAAATTTTCCATTGTAAGTTAAATTATTGAAGTGAGATTTTTAACTGTTACAAAGTTGATATGTGATTTCTGTTCTAACACTTCCTTCCTCACAAAATATCTGTGCCAGGTAAGGTACAGTCGAATTCTTATATTTAGCTGTACAGCATACATTCTTATGGAGTTTATTCTTGTCCTCCGTGAGAAGATACATGCGGAGAGCTGTGAATGATGAATTGGATACTCGGTGTCAGTTAAAATGACTGTAGCTAGTTGTCTGCTGCAATTCAAACGTCTATCAACCACAATGTTAATCAGTTGAACCAGAGTCACACCACTCACCCTACTCGCTGACGACTTTCAAACACCTACACAACATAACGTAGTCGTTTTTTAGATAACAGAATGTTTTAAAATGGCTGGTTGTCTCGATTAAGACAACTTCTTTTCGTAATTTGACATTGCGCATTTGCATGCAGGCGGAGTTGCAGATGTCATGAGATGAGAATCCGCCTGATTTGATGATCACAAGGCATCATTTCTGATGCACATAGATTAATTTGTTATCCGGATATGCCATACTCCGTGAAGAAATCACTAACGAAATCATCCCAGCAGAAACTTCATGACTATCCAATACAAGTCAGAAGTTCGTAGGATTTTTGTACACGCTGCTGCACATCATTATCTTTCCACTGAACTGCCGGTGTGTTTCCCAGCGATTTGGGATAACCGTTGTCAAATAAACATTTCTCACCAATGTGTGACTTCTCTGCAACCACAGTCTTTGCGTGTGTTTGAATACCTTTCAAATAATTTCTCTCCGTAGTTCATTTAAGAGCAGCCTTCGAAGTTAAAGAAACTTTCTCTTCAAATCTTTTTTTCATGAATATACCCTCAAATTCTACTCTCTGTCAAGTGAGACACTGAAATCTAAAGAAAGAAGATTATAGCTTCATTCACACTCCACTACACTTTTCATATTGGAATCGACATAGTTAGGAAGACTTATGAAAAGAAGCACGTAATTAAGGTCACTTGAAACAACAAATGTGTCTTCAATATATTCAGGATTGAACTGTTTGTCTGCTCGATTTACAGTATACTCTTTTGCTGATGACTGACTAAATAAGACAATTTCACCGTTTTGTTACAACCATCCAAATTTCTGATAATCTCGATGAAAGTGAAATTAAACACAAGGATATGGAATATACCCTCACCATATTTGAACCAATCAAGGCTGCTCAGATTAAAAAAGAGATGAGAAGGTACGGCATATATGTGGTAAGAATCTACGGAAGCAGATAGAATGGAAGTGGACTCTCCAAACTGTCAACTGGAGAATCAATAATCTACTCCTATATTGTCATCCAGACGACAACCACCAGCACACTGATTTATGGAGTGACTATCATGATGTCCCCTTCAAGAGCGCCGAAGGCTCTCATGTGGGGGAACCAATCTCCTCCAGGATCAGGATCATGACAGCAAGATTCAACACAAAAGGAAGGAAAGTCGTAATCATACAACGCTACGCACCTACAAAACAATCCAGACCAGAAGAAGAAGCAGGAATTCTATAGACAACTGCAATCAACACTGGACAACACCCCATCCCAGTTGGCGACGTCAAAATTCATTCTAACGTGTGGAGTGACATGAATGCCAAATCGGGAGCAGACAACCAATCATGGGGTCGAAAAGCACTCAGTGAAATGATGAATGAGAATGGAGAACTGTATGCAGACTTCTGCACATTGAACAACTTGGTGATTGGGGGCGAGGTAGTGTGGACAAACACAAGGATATTCACAAAGTGAACGACATGCAGTTGATTTCATCAGACACCAGGACACACTACACTAAAAATCAGATTGACTTCATCTCAATGTGATGGAAGTGGAGATGCAGTCAGCCTAGTGGATACAAGATGAAGTGAGCTGAAGAGGGGGAGCGGATGTGTGTAGGTTGACACCACTGACTATCTAGTGCAAGGAACCTACCTTCAAAATCAAGTTGAAAGTCTTGAATGTAGTTGGTTATAGGTCACAGGTTGAGTGGAACACCCAGAACAGAAACTCAACTGATGGACGTAACAACGAAAGATATCTTCACGTCGTCAGTCATCAGGACAAAATATGAGACATTAGGCAACATCCCGCAGGACACCTGATTGGAAGAACACTGGAACTGTTTGAAAGAGACTTGGAAGAAAAACTGCATAACCTTGTTAGCAAGCAAAACGAAACAAGACAAAGAATGGATCTCAACAGAAACATGGAAGCTGATAGAGGAGGGAAAGGAAGAAGATGAGGCAGAAGATGAATCAGTGGAGTGTGGTGCACGGATGAACAACGGAAAGAGGAACTGAACACAACCTTTAAAACACTACATTAGACAAAGAAGTGAAGAAGAGTACACAGAAAGACAAAAGACACTTGCATGACACACTAGCAAGTGAAGCAGAACAGGCTGCAGGTAGGAGAGATAGAGACCTGACAACACTATATCAAATAACTAGATTACTATTCAGGAGGAGATCAACACAGCACAGATGAAAACAATGAAAGATAGTGAAGGAAACTGAGTTATCATCAAAGAGGAGAAACAGAATAAACGATTGGGTGACCACTTCATGAAACTCTTGATTCGACCACCACCTGCACTTCGCCCAGAAATACCACCAGCAGCCCAACCACAGGATTACCAGTGAACATAAGCCCTTGACAAAAGTCGAAGTCCTGAATGCCATAGAGTTACTGAAATGTGGGAAAGCAGTAGGTCTAAATGGAATCTGGCAAGAAACACTGAAAACAGATACAGAGACACCAGCGAACATGCTCACACCACTATTGCAGAAGATTTGCAAGGAAGGAAAGGTAACTGCTGATCGATTGTAAGAAGGGCTACCTTGCCAAACTCTCAAAGAAGGGAGATCTAAGCGTTTGAAAGAACTGGCACGGAATCATGCTCCTGCCCACCCTCAAGCAAGCAAAATATTGAGCCGCATCATCCTGGAGAGAGTGTAAGATGCGCTGGATTCAAAACGTCGACAGGAGCAGGCAGGCAGGCAGGCAGGCTGGCTGGCTGGATTCAAGAAGAACAAATCATGTGAGGATCAAATTGCGACGCCACGCATCATAATATCATCATCATCATCATCATAGGAGAGAGAATAGAATGCCAGTCAACTGTACCTGTACCTATGTTTGTACCTCAACTTCATCCACTGTGGAAAGGCCCTCGACAGCGTCGACCGAGCAGTAATTTGGCAAGTAGCCGCTCAACACTAAGGTTTTAGTGCCACAAATCTGTATCAACCTCATTCAACAGCAGATATATGATGACGCCACATGCCAAGTGATTCACAATGGAAAGCTCAGGGATGCCTTTGAATTGAAGACAGGAGTAAGATAAGATAAGGCTTCCGCCTACTGTCTTCGATGATCTTCCTGATTATGGTCGACTGCACTGGACTGGATTGGACTGGATTATGCAGGAAATTGTGAGGATCGAGAATATGGGCAAATGCTGTTTGACCGATGAAAAGACCTTGGTAGATTTGGATTTCGCCGATGATGATCTGTGTCTAATGTTGCACAAACTCGAATATGTACAGGGAAAAACCGAGGAGTAGGCAAGAGACGCTGGGCAGTGAAGACAGTACTTCCTTCAGGTGAACGTAGAGAAGACAGAGGTGATGAAGATAATTAACCGCCACCAACAACAATCACCAATCACCATGAGCGATAGAAATCTGAAGGGAGTTGCTTCTTTTCCCTACCTTCCCAACATTGTTTCAACTACAGGGGGCGGCACAAATGAGTACGTCAAATCCAGCATCGAAAAGACACCGAGACAGGCGGTCATTAATCTATGGATATCAGTATGGAGATCTACTGCACACAGCACAAAGAACAAGATCTAGATTATCAACACGAATGTTATGTCACTGCTGCTACATTGTTCAGAAACTTGGCGCGTTACGAAAAGCATTTCTAACAAACTACAGACATTCATGAACAGCTGCTTAGGCTTTCTTGATACTGAAGATCAGAAGGCTAGAAAGAGTTAGATACAAGGAACTCTGGGAGCAAGTCAACCAAGAAGCTGTCGCTCAACAAATATGCAGAAGAAGATGGTGGAGATGGATTGGCATACATTGAGAAGGCCGATTGGAGAGATCATAGGTCAGGCCAGGCAGTCAAGTGCAACCTATTTGGGAAACGACGAGTTGGGTTGTTGAGGTTGACATGGAGGAGGTAGTGTAAGGAAAAAGTGAAAGCTAGTAGGCTGTCGTACAGCAAGGTTAGAAAAACGGCAGAGAACAGAGTGTAATGGAGGCATGCTACTGAAGCCTTATGTTTCACTGGCAACCCAAAGGAAAAATAATGTTAATAATAATAATAATAATAATAGCTAATAAAATGCAAAGTTATCTAGTTTTGACCTCAGGTCTCTTTAATAAACTCAACTCCGTTATCACCTGGTAATAACGATCAAGACTGAAGTAATATCTTGAGATTAGCGAGGAGTATTATCGTCTGGTTCTAACGATATAGACAATCTGGCATTACAAAGTCATAAGATAATTTCACTGAGTCAATTTGTAAGATTTAATGAACGAATTAGTCATATATTAGTTTCAGTCTGCTACTTATTCAAGGTAACCACTTATTTTATTGGCTTTACTGAAATAACACTATGAACATGATTTCGATGGAATTAACGATCACACGTATACAAGCGTTTTCTTCAAAGAGTTGTAGCAATCAAATATTTGATATTCTTAGTCAGTTATGACTCAAATAACGCCATATATAAAACGATTACTATTAAACTAGAACTAAGTCAGTAAGTGAATATACACTAGAAAAATATGTTGTGAATTTTAGCATTAATTTGGGAGTGGTAATGAAAAAAGAAATATATCACCGCCTTAGATTAAGTGGTTTGATACAGGAGGAATAGATGTAGGTTACAACAGACCATAACAGTTCACTTAACTTCTGTCATCCTACAGCCAGATGGTCTTTTATATTCTTGTGAGTGATGAATATTCAACACAATTTCCATGAATCTTAGTCACACATCTCTGAATCTTCATCAAGTATCTACAGGAAAGGTATTAAAAGTATTCATCCGAATTCCAGGTGAAAATTAGTAAATCATTCGTAGTACAGATATTATGAATAAATTACTTCCATTCTCCAACAATTCCCTGGCAAATAAAGGCTACTGTGTTTCTAAGAATAAAAGATTAGCGCAGATCTGGCGTAATGAGAAAGGGTTCCTACGTGGACTGCGTGCAAGATTGAAGTAAATCTGCAGAAAGTATTCATAGAAAAAAAATATAAAAAGGTCAGCAAAAAGTAAACAGAACTCACAGCATTTCAAAGGAAATCATATAAGGATGGTTTCAATTCCAAAACAATCAAAAAACATAAATGAAATTCATGTATAAAAATCGACATCAATTAACAATGAGAAAGATGAAGACAAAAATATGAACTTGGCTCAAAACAATTTCTGCAATCTGTGCTGATGATTATGTCTTGAATAATGACAATAAAATCTGCACGATTGAAACATTCAACTGAGAGAAGACGACAGAATCACAAGCACTGAAAATTGATTTTCAGTCAACTAGAACAGAAATACACCAGTTAATCCCCCCTTGAGTAAAATCACCATAATATTGCATCATTAACTAAAAATCAATACGTAGGTTTCAGCAGAACAAGTCTGATTGGATTCACACTCACACTCACTCACTGACTAGCTCCAAACGTGTCTGGTCGACTAAAGATTGAATGAAGATAGTCCAATTTACTTGAGCTTGAATCACCAATCAACTGATGCAGAAAACCTTTGAAATCTACCAATCAGTAGCTGAAGAAGCCGTTGTTAATTATTATTTCAACTGTATAAAATCAAAGAACTTGTGACATATGCATAATCATGAAGCTTTGCCTCCTGTATATCAGTGTGGCTACCACGTTTCTGGCCATATGCATATCTTCAGCACAAGGTAAACTTACTTCGGAAGTTTTATTTACCGAATGCCATTGCATGCACCCTTCACTGTTTTAGACATTGTTGACTGTGTTGAAGAACAGCTCTCCAGTTCATTCACTTCACTCAATACACGCATCATGTTCTGATTGAGTTAGGGCTGATTCACCAGTCACACCTAGTTGTCAACAATATGCAGACCATGTTTTCTTTGCTTCCAAACCACCTTCGTCAAATATAAAACGCTGCATGCACAGACTGAATGATCACAGGTTTCAGTGTCAGTGTCAATCATTCCTACATATCGAATTCAATGGCCAACTGAATTTCAATCTATCTGAGCGTGCAGCTTGATTGGAGCACAATGAAAACAGGTCGTGTCCATGCACCGATACATTCACTTGTAATCTCATAATCTCACACCTTCCTTTCACCACAATGTCTGTATAATACAATTGGATTAGGACTCTTGAATTGTCCACGCTTCTCTGCATTCACTTATATGCTTCACACATGACAGATCATCGTCATCATAAATTTGCACGCATTCTCTCCTCTTTGTAACAGTCTACAAATGATAATCGCATGGAGATCGTATGAATTAGACGTTGTCAATTCCTCACTGACAATCAGTTCGGTTTGAAACATAGCCGTAACCAGTAATTACATGATGAGATGATATTTAACCTGAGTATGGAGAGTGAAATGGAGGATGCTCTCGAGGTGTTGTCAATTTACATAGATATTTATGTCAGTACATCACCGGTCGATAAATCACTGTTAGCATTTGAGAAATCTCGAAATTCGAAGAAGTCGTGAAGACAGTGCTTGTCCCCTGTCTTCTTCTCTCCTGTGCATATGATTATCAAGGTGATTACATGTGATATATTTTGACAAGAACTAGCTAGTGATTGCTTGTGGGATAACTGTAACCGAATGCTTGTATTCCTTGTTTCAAGGTGGAGTAAGTGACGAACCGAAAATTGGTAAGTTATTCGAAGGTGAACTGAGATCCACTCAATCATATTGTCTTCATTGAATTCAACGTGAATGTGCGAGAATTACGCATGTGCTTTCCCCTGGTTTTCATAATTCCATGGATGGTTGAACCTGCCTCCTATTTCTGTGCAATATTTGTAATTTGTTCAGGATGAATAAGATTCACTTTTGAAATCATTATGAGGTTTCGCCTGAACCAAATGCATTTGAACATTGACATCTAGTGAATAATACAATGAATGATATCAGTGCCACATTGTCATTGATGTTTGAAAGGGACTGTCATCGGTTGGGGATTTGGAGCTTGTTGAAACTGCTGGTTGCTGGTCATCGTTTTCTGAATTGGAGGGGAGTGACTGAGTTGAGTGCAATAATCTCATTGTCATTTCTTACAGGATGACAAGCAGCATGATACTTCTTGTCTTGAAACAACACTTGTGGAACAATCCGCTTCGAGATATTCTCATTTTGATCGGTCATTCGATCCGACACACATCCACTTCTGTCTGACCTTTCACTAACCAGCTGCTTTACAACAATACTGAGCATGTTCAATCAGAATGTGATTGATTCAGTTGTTTCTCCTCTCTGCTGTATGTCAATCTCACAAGTGAGAGGAGAGAGAACAGAGGTGTTCAACGTCGCGATCAATCATGAGATGCATAGTTATTGTGGGAGTAGTTTAACAGGAAGTGGGAATTCTTCAAAGTGAATGAAACAAGATTCAACAGTCGTCAACTGTGTCATATATGGTATGACAGATTTATTCGATTACGGCATTCACTTTCAACGTCAGTTGACCAACCAACCTCGACAGGATAATGTAACACTGACTGAGTGGTGATTCCGATCGATAGGCTAGTCGAAGTATTTGTTAATTCCTTTGACATCAGGCGAGTTGCGAATGATGAAATTTATCTCTTTCTGTTTGTACACCTTTTCAATGTATCTGTGTTTCTCTGAAGACATTTACTAATATAGTGAAGGAGATTACTGATCTGCTAGTTGGATGATGATGCAAAAGCCAGTGTACTCAAGAAAGTTTATTGAATGAGTGAAAGACGCCACGGCTTCTCCACCTATTCACATCATTGTGCACAGTTTCAGAGAATTTCAATTCCATCAACTTGCTTTAATGCTTCACTGAGGAGTGAGGCGTGAACATGAAGCCATTCAAACTGCGTCCTGTAATGACTATGATCAGTGTGCTACTAGTCATGTCTCAAGTATCATCCGTCAGCTTCGATATGCACTTACCAACTGTGAATAGGTACATCGATTCAGATAATTAGGTGATTGCTTTGTGCACAACTCTTCACTGTGATGTTTATTATCAACCCATTAACAACATTATAACTTGTCTGCTGTCTATGGTTTTCAGATAATGAACAAACAGTTAGTGAACTCACAAATGGTATTGCCGAATTTCAAAGTGAGAAGAAATTTTTATGTCTGCATCTCTAATATATGTGGATAATAATATTTTGATGATTAAGCATACACAAATCCCACAATTATATTGATTCAGTGAGGACTGTGTGAGTTTCCTTGAATTCTTTAGAGATGACTAGAATCAGGAGGTTTTTGTATTGATCAGCTGGAGGTCGTCTTCATACATTGGGTGTTTTTGATTACGTTCAGTATGAAGCCTTTAGGAGTTCATATCAAATGTGTATTGATAAGCTGGAATGTTACCATTTGAAATGATCATTGTAATTTACTCATTATTATGAAGGAGGTATGAGAGATTGTTATCTGATACATTATTTTTTCTATAGATTTATCTGTTGCTGCTCATACTGTGAAGAGAAATCGTCAATTTCTTTACCTCCAACTTTTAAGTAATTGATTTCGAATTTTTTTTATTCATGTATTTAGCTGCCTTATGTCATATATATTGTGTCTTCGTTTTTATTTATTTCGTTTATAAATATACCCATCATTTGGCCGGGTTTACGTGGCTGGTGTACCTTATTTCTAGATGTTTTTTCGACTATTTCGGAATCAGATTTCAGTGATCTAACGGAATATCTTCTACCGCCGTTCTTTACCTAAATTCATTTTCTGATGACTAGTTCTTGAGCAAGTCAAACATTTCCACCGAATTTAACAATAAGGGTGTGTATATGCGATTTTATTATTTGTCTTATTCATCGATCATTTTATATTGAACCTACATTATGCTACTCGATTATAATGATCAAAATTATAAACATTCAGGTGAGGGTGTTAAGAAGGGACGATGATAACTTGCAAAACAGTCACTGAATGAGTGCTTCCTTTAAGGCTTCACTAAGAAAACATATAGCTACATTTTTGTCTGCTAAATGTTCGAAGCTCTTAATTCGCTCTTTTCTTGAGAACAGCTGAGTAATAAATCATCATGCTCACTACGACAATGAACATACTAAGTTCGGTAGAACGTAAAAGTTTAATGAGAGGTGATATTACATTTATTTACATGTAGGTGGTTTAACACTACAAAATATGATTGATTCTGGTTCCTTAAAACGTTCTGATGCTCCAAAATGCTCATCATTTCAAATTTTATCACAACCTGCTTGCAACCTATTCAGCGAATACTAGTAACAAAGCTTTTTCATATTCCAGATGAAATGAGTGAGAATCATCCAATTCTAAAGAATATAACTCACCTGAGAGAGGTAGCAGACCCTATCGTTACGTTTTATGGGATAACATGTTTACACAGAAACTTAGAGAAGTACAAAGCAAGGCTGATGTACCCAGGCTAGTGGATTACTATAATAAACTCAATAACTTTTCCATGAATTATTTAAATAATCGTTCACGTATATAATCTATGTAGTTCAAGTATTAATGGAAGCAGTAATGCTCCTGTTCGTTGTAAGATGTCATAAACATATCTAAGATATTGCTGAGTTTCAAAGAACATTTCTGGTTATTTCAAATCTAGCGGTGATTTGAGCATCAACTACGGAACAAAGAACAACATGCAATATTCTTATCTTTGTTTTACAAGCAATTGAATTCTAGATGACATTCAGTAGTGTATGTATCGAAACGCTGTCATTAGAACTTTTGGAAAAAGATGTTCTTATCCGATAATGCTAAACAGACTTAGTAGTTGCTAACAATACCTATTTAAATCATTTGAAAGTAGATGAAGTTGGAAATAAATAAAAAACATACAAGAAGTGTCATTTCTACGGGATACAGATGAAAATCAAGATGCATCTGACAAAATCCTTAAGTACCTAGACTGAATTACTGGAACTCAAAAAAATGCATCTCCCTTAAGGATAACTGTCAAGTATTGTTTACAACTGTAACTGAAATATAGAGGTCACTCAAATCACACCTTAACATACTTAAATGCTCTGGTGCAATGATAAATCCTATTGCCCTGTCAGCTTGTCAAGTCACGAAATATAAACACAGCAGAAAGACTGAATCAACATTTTCTTTGTCTATGTATCCTATCAAACGGAGTTGCTGTTTATAAGAGCAGTCTGAAGTCTGCAGATCGACTCATTGAGTGATTTCCGATGCGTTAAACACCGAAAAGAAACTCTTGAATATAGTGAACTGACTGTAATTGTTTCATAGATTAGCAGAACTCGGCATCGACACGTTCATGAAGTATTTTATCACAGTGATATCTTCCAGTAGATGTTAGTATTTAGCTTTTGGTAAACAGATTTCAAGAATGTTTGTTATCTCATCTTGAATTCTATTTCCAAATGACTAGTATATTTCTTATTTGTTTTGAAAAATTCCGAACTGAAATATACTTTAGAGCTTGTGAGAAAACTTGAAGAACTGAAGGAAAGATATGGTATGGATTTGGATATATACAATGCTTACATGGTCGAACGTATCTTTTCATATATAATACATATGTGCCAATGCTTTCAATATCGTCTTCAACATTCATCTGTTAACATTCTGATAATTTTTTCAAACTCATTAGCAATATCTAACGCTGTTGAGACACTTTTTGAGTATTTAAAATATTCAGTTCAACACGTTCCATGATACTTTCAACTCACAACACTTGTTTAACTTCATCAGGTGATCTTTTCCAACCAAACGCTGCCTCTCTTTCATGGCTCAAAGAAGAAGTGCGTTATTATACAGGTAATAAACAATCGTGTTTGTTGTGTTCATAAACCATTACTTAAACTTTTGGATGGGTGAAGGCGGTATCCTTCTAAGTACACTGGGAGTAAAATAATTTGCCATATTTCATATTCCGTCATTGGTTCAATTTAGTAAGGTGTGCTTTTGTTGACTTTCAGAAGAAAATAATGATCCTCTAGAAGACTGTTTAGCCGATTTCACCAGAGAAAACCCAGCTGGTGAGTGAAAGCATATATTTCGGTTTCTAATAATAGTGGTTTGTGAAACGAAAATTATAAAATTATTTCCTTTGACATGAAACATATTTATCGACATAAAGTCAGTATGTAAAACAAAAATAGGCTACAGTAGACTCATGAACATAAATCTGATACGCATATCATTTTTTATGCAGTTTCAAGTTGTGTAAAATATTGAATATACGATGTCAATTGTTGATCCAATTTTCTCTATTTGTAGAAGCCGCTAGTTGAATAGAGAGATAACTTCGATATTTGAAGTTCATTCCATTATTCAGAAATATTGGGGTAAGATAATACTGCAGACTATATCACTGACTGGAGTTTGCAAAATGCACAGACACTTCTAAAATGAATGTTCGTGTACTCTTGAATAAAGTATTTGTGTTGAATTTCACCCGTTCATTTTCCTGTTAACATCAGGTTTGTGTCCGTAAACTTTCAAAGAGCAAATCAAACGAGTATAATCCCAATAGGCAAACCTAACTATTCATCATCTATTTTGTAATTCTAGATATAAAAATGCGTATGAATCAATGTTGTATAAACTCACAGTGAGTTACTTATTTGTTCAAAATGAAAATCAACATTGAAATAATACCTGTGCAAATGATAGACTGACTCTTCTTGGTGTCAGCTTACATTTTTTAATAACTCACACTCTTACTTCAGTTCTCTAAGTCAATCTATATAGATAAACGTGTGATAAAGTGACTTCAATGACGTGTGAAAAAGGAGTACGGTGTGCTCTGGGAAGAATATTCATTTGTGTGTCAAAATCAGATCGAGGTCTGAAGTCATGCACTGACCGATGTGTGTTTTCATTCTCACTCTGTATGACCAGATGCTACAAATGTTTATTACGAAGCAAAAGGAGATGGCAGCATGCTGTGAATGCGTTTGTGATAATCGGATCAACGAATTTCTCTGTGGAAAAAGCCATACCAACTTTCTGGTTCCAGACATTGAAGAACAGTTATTTTAGATTTACAACAATCAGAACGATTAAAGTGGTGCTGCATGTTCTTTCTTTCTTTGTCAATATGTTACCATGACATTGGTACATTCTCGTCACAGACGTGTTGGATGAAGAGTACTTCCATTCATTGCATTTTCATTACAGCTGATAAAAGGAGACAATAATTTTACATTTCTGCAGCCATGAATTCGAAATATAACTTATGGTTTTCACTGATAAGACTTCACAGATGAGTATGCTTTGCATTAAAGCTGACATCTGTATTGATTTTTACTGCAGAATAGGCTGCTTATATATCACTATGGGTTGAAGGACATTAAGGTTATTGTGTAAGTATGTTGGGTACGACCCTAGCCAGTGTTGAGGGAATTTCCATCCGTCAGCTGACGAGGCTTTCATCACACTTGGGCTCATGAATATCTGCTGCAGGAAGATCAGTAAGACGTCCAATTATCTGAAAAAATGTTGATGATACGAACGGTTTGTGTTCTTTTTCTGACATTTATTTTCTGATGAAGAACCTTCCTTGTCAAGTATTCTGTCAATGGTTTGTCGAGATAATCAACTGACATCGGTTAGGTTGGGCATTGGTGTTCTCATAGATTTAGGTTATCTTTCGTAGTGGTGATCACATCCTTTTTCTCTCCAGCAGAAAAGAAGTAATGATTAACAGACTGGTGAAAACTGTTTACAGAGTGGTGAAGTCGTATTCCAAGAATGAATTCTCTTGGATAAATGCGTTAGACTGGACTTCAAGAATTGTGCGTCAATAAGGCAGACAAAATATATCCCCAACTAATATATTCGTTGTGCTGTTGAAAAACACTCAGATTGCTGCATAGTAGTTCGCTTGCCTCCTTACATTTGCAGATAAATAAACTTTTCATTTCTTTCCAATTTTTTAGGGAGAATATGAATATTAGTTGATATCATGAAATTCGTTCCACTAAGTAATGAAATTGTTAAATTAACAGACGATAACAAAAATGTTTAAGTTGTGTAATCTGTTTTTCTGTAAAAGTTAATAATAAAATTCTCATTTCCTTCTGAAAAGTTTATACTAACATTGACTGTGTTAGATGTTTGATGGACTTTAAACTGGGATAATCTGTCTTGTCAAGATAATAAGAAAGAGGAGAAAAAAATGTGAATGCAGTGACATTATTACATAGTCAAAGATTATTATGGTAATTCTAGCTGCATTTGCTAAGGCTACGTAAGTCTCAAGGTGGGTTAGTCAAAGTACTCAGGTATAACTAAAAAGTGAATAATGAGCTAATTACAGTTACATATTGAAAGCTCAACTAAGTTGATGCGCTAATGACCAATAATTTTGCATTGAAAGATAGTGAATCGATTCAGATAGCTTATTACTTAAGCTAGACAGTTAAACGTCGATGAGAATATATGTAATATAATTGCCAATGTGAGAAATAAGATTGTTTCATCTTTGAATATCGGTCGAATCGAAGTGATTGAAATTTTTCTCAGGAGAAATATTTTGAAAGTCCATTCTAAACTGTGGAGTTAAGTCAAAACCAACAGGACAATGGGGATATGAGCAGACAAAATCTAGACAGAATTCTTCATGTATCATAAACATTTTTTACTTTGAGAATTTAAGTATGTTTGCATGCTAATGATCAAATTGATCATGAATGATATTGAAGTAAAGTGAAGTGTGGTTAGAATGCAATGAGGCATGAACAAGAAGTCAGCACATTTCAATAACCACTCAGATTCCGCTTATTGATACTTGTTGATTCACACTGGTTATTTTAACTAGCCGAAATGATAAGTCTTTCTCGTCATTTGGACACTTTGATCAGAAGCCGGGATATAAACTCAGATATCATATTCATGTCATTCGCTTGGTGGTGGCTACCATCGTGTTGCAGGATACAGATTTCGTCATATTTCAGATCAGTCAGCTGGATGTGCCTGGATCCCAGTAAGTGATAGTCTCCCTAAATTCCATCTCTAAAGAAAAGCAAACACTCTCAGAATAGATGAAAATATAAAAAAAGGAGGAACTAATTTGGGCAAAGCCAAAAATAAAACTAAATTAGATCGTTATTGTACTCGTCAAATATGATTCACAACAAATTTCATCCATTATAAGTCAGACACCTCTATTGACATCAGGAAGGGACTCAAAAAATGCAGCATTAAATTGTTCCACAGAACATCAAACACATTGAACATCTTCTTGGTCCTAATCATGAACAAAATTCCACTGAGTTTGCAAACCAATTACTTCTATAAAATCAGTAACTCAGACTACAATGCATGAGTCATATTTCAAATTGAAATAAGGTGGGGAAAAATGAACACCAAATGGTTTCCATCCTTACCATAGAATGGAATAACTTTGAAAACACACCTACCCTACCTACATCTCTCTGTAAAATTAGCTCCAACGGTCTGTTGTGAAAATATCGAAATTATTCTGAAAGGTTAAAGAAATTTTAGGCAACCTTTCATATCACAATCGTTTTGCATAAATCCAGATTAGATTGTTTAAGTGAGAATCAGATCCATTACAATTGGATTGATTGGGGAAACTTATTTCAATCCTAAGGTAAGTTTGAAAATGATCAGTGCCATGGTCTTTGCAGCTTGAAGAAACTCAGTCATACACCTGTGTCAAGGAATTCATGTTCTCTGTAGATGGTGCTGAACTTGGTTTCTGCGTTTACCGAGTGATCATAACCAATGAAATGACCTTAAACAGAGCTGTGAGGTGCACTCCTCTCTCCTATGCATAGCCAAGTTGATATATGCTCGATAACGCGTTTAGAAAACGGGAGATGAATACAGTCAGTGCACCTTACTCAAGACGAGCAGGTGAATAACAGTTAGTGAAGCACATTCGTGTCCTTACCTTCTTTTCAGTGCAAAGTCGTCTAGCACAACAGACTTTGGTTACGAATGACAATAAGATTTGTGGAAATATGTTGCATAATACTGAAGGACGAGGTAATTGGACAAACAAAATCTAGACAAACACAATTTGAAATTGTGAAGAATGACATAATGGGTACGATGAATCTGAACGATTAAGTTACTGATTGAATATTCCATGGCCAGGTGATGTAGAAATCACTTCCGGATACGAAGACTAGGATTATTATTGCGAATCCCCACAGCTTCTGCTATGTGTTGCAGCAGACGAGTCTGAATACCTTCCGAAAGATGAGATGGCATGTGTCGAATAATCACGAAAGCATTATTCTTATCTACTGAGTGACCCCTATGAATAAGGTCAGATGAAACCAAAGTTCTGATAGATTTTATCTGTCCTTTTCCCAATCATGAAGGTAGATGCTTAGCAACACGTTGGTTAAGTTGTCTACTAGTACGGCCTATGTGGCTTTCTTCACAGGAGCATCTAAAGTTGTAAAAACACATAGAAATGGCAAAAGTAGACACCTTTCTTGGTTCTTATCATCCTTATCCTCTATATTTCATGTACTTAAGTCAACGTTATCACTTGTATCATTATTACTGTCACATTAAGCTATATGTATTACAGTAAAGTCTGAAGAGGCGCTAATTGAAAACAATATTGTTCGAATTTACATGATGGGAATTTTTAAAAATTTCACAACAATTACATAATCTTTATGCATTGATAATTATGACTTAACTGTCCTATATTATTTTGTGATAACCAGGTCTGCTTTGTACCGAATTGGTACATGATTAAGAAAATGTGTAAACTGACTAATAGATGTAGTCGTCGTGTAAACGTGTCTGCTGAGTGAACCATCTTCTCTTCTGTTTAGGAAGACATTCAAGAAGTATAGTTTACTCGGATTTTCTTCCTCACAAGTGAAAGTGAGCGAAGGGTGCACTTCATTAAGTTTCCTTAATACCTCGTTTGTATCCACATTCTGATCTAGGATAATCAGTGTGTCATCAATATAACACTGATACATAGTCATCTCCCCAATGATCTCTTTCAATGCTCCGTTCTCCAGTTCGATAAGACATATATCAGCTAAAATAGGGCCGATTGATGAACCCATACCTAACGCATCAATCTACTGAAGACAAAATATACATCCATGATACATTTAAGAAGCAGTTTTTTGAGGAATGTTGATGTGCCTTTCCGATATTCGTTGACATACAAACTCTACCGTCTTCAGTATTGGCAAATTAGTTAATAATGATGAGATAACAAGCGATAACATATATATTTTCTGTTTACATTCACATCATCTAGCATAGAAGTAAATTCGGAGATATCTTTTACACTTTGTTTACTATTTCTTTGTGTAAGGGATCTAAAATCCTTTCTAACCATTTAGCAACAGTGTGGTATGGAGAGTTAGACATGTCTAAAACTGGACGAAGAAAGAGTGTCAGGTTTGTGTACCTTAAGTAGACAATACAATCATGGTGTATTACTCCTTGTAGGTGTAAGTGAATCGTATGCTGACTTAGAAACTGTTCTAATTTCTTACAGTTTCTGGAGGGTGTTTATTATCTCTGAAGAGTTACCAAGTCTTTAAAACTTTGTTTGATAGTTAAGAAGACTAGTCAACAATACTAAGCCTCCTCCTTTGTCCAGCTTCCTCAGCTTAGACAAATCTACACGATTGGTTTAACTTTATATATATATATATATATATATATATATATATATATATATATATAAAGCTATTTGTATTGAAGTAAAGTTTGATAAGGATCTAATTGAAAACAGTATTGTTTGCTTATATGTTTTGTTCTAATGTATTTATTAAGTGAAATACTCGTAATGTTGATATGACTGACAAATCATGACTTATAATACCAAAAAAGATGATGTTCCATATGATTCATTTTGGAAATGATTAATTTTATGTTATAGTAATAATAATAATAATAATAACCACTGAAATGTTACCTTTTTCAATAAATAAACAATAACAAAACAGATGAATAGAAATAATGTGTACATAATAAACTGAAGAATAATCTACAAAATATATTATTGTAACATTGGATATATTGTTTTAAACAAAAACAATTGAATATTGAACATATATATTTGAATTGAGGTAGAAATAAATTATAAACCATTTTTAAAAAAAAGATTATAAAATAAGCCATATTGACAATGATTTATTTAATTTATGCAGAAATATGAATTGATATATAATTGGTTCGAGTTAAGGTTATATAAACTAATCTGTTTCCCCGGTCACAGTTTTTTTTTTTTTTTTTTTTTTAAAGGAATAAATCATTTGTTATACTTCCGTTTTGCTTTGTTTTTAATTTTTAAATACATGTTTCCACTTTTTTTAATACTAAACACTGTTGACATTCAACTCGACAACACCATATAAACTTACAATTACATGATTCCATTGTATAATAATGATGAGTTATATAACCACGACCACAGCATAAATGACGACAATTATTCAATCCATTTAATGATGAATTACATAATCGACCTTTAGTGCCTAATATATGATAAAATGGATGAGAATCACAGAATAGCATTTGATTAATTGATTCATAATAAACAAGTTGAGATGAATGTGGTTGTGTTAAATTGTCAATTTTTCTAGTCGACTTAATTAATATTGACGATTGAATATTAGATGGTGATATAATGACTAAATTTGATTTTTAGAAATTTTTTTAACATTATTGACTTTTCTATTATAATTATTATTGTTGTTTATTATTGATAATTGTGTTGATGGCAGATATCTATTTGAAGTTTGTTTATATGGTGTAAACTTGACTGCTTTATCTAAATAAGATGATTTAGCATTGTTGAATAAAGAAATATATTTATCTTGTGTAATTCTATCCAAGTTACGAATACTTCGAAATTTATCAGAATCTGTAAAAAGAATTTAAAAAAAAATGGAATGAAAGTATTCAAAATGTATTGACCCTACAAACTTCTGAACTAAATTACTGTCTAGTCATCAATAGTAATATGCTTCTAGATGAGTTTCATAAAGTTCTAATGAAAAACTACAACTGTGGGGTACAACAAATCGGAATTGAAGCTGATATGCATTGATGATCATGAATGTTAGTCGTCCTGTGCAAAAGATAAATAGAAATAGGAAACAAGGCTGACCAGCGGATTTCTTTCAGCCCAATGCCTGCACAGAAACATGCTCATAATGAGGACAGAAGATCTCCGGCTCAATCTGCAGCATGATCATGGATGCACACTGTTGAGAAGTCGCGTACTAAGATGAAACAGTTGCCCAGTACGTGTGTGCTTTCAATCGATCTCCAACTAATGTTAACCACCCTACAAACCTCCAGAGGAAAATAACGAACTTGCCACTTTCACTAAACTGATACTAAACTGTATACCATCTAAAGTTTTCATGATGATATGAGTGAGTGATTCAGAAGGTAGTATCATAATATAATTGCAAAACTTCGGCAATGTGTTAGAGTGTAGTTTCATAAAGCTCTAAGGACCTTTAATCCCACTTCTATGACATGGTGATGAAATGTAAACTGAACAATTACCTAGTTGAAATTTGAGAATATCAGCAGTGGAGAATAAATGTAGATCAAATGGATGGTCTTGATTGTATTGCGTTCTTTGAGCTAGGTTGTTTAATCGTGGAAAGGCTTCCATCGTCTTTCCAGACAACATCTTCAGAACTAAATTCAATATGAACTGAGCTGTCAGTATCTCTCTCTCTCACTGATTTAGTAGCTCGCTCTGACCAACTGGTTGTTTCCTTTGATTGTTGTGTCATTGACTGACTGTATAGATTTTCCTGTTGGCTATTCCTCTATCATTTCCCCATTTTTTGATAGATTGGGTGTATGTCTATACATCTATCTGTTGATAGCTGACTGATCTGAATACACAACTTGTTGGAATTCTCTGATATTCTCTGTGTTTCCTCTCTCCATCCAACATCTTAACATTGTAAAAATTAAATTCATGTCCGTAGTTGTTATCCACGTGTATTGAAATGAGTAATGAAATGTCCCATGTCACGTGAAATAGCCAATTTTTGTTCATGTAGGCGAAGGCGAAAGTGTGCGACCACTTTGTACAATGTAGTGTTGACTACAATTATTGCAGGTGATTTTGTAAGTTGTATCCGGTTTGTGTTCTTTGGTTGTTGCATCCTCTGGACTGCATAACAGTGTTTGGAGAGAATTTGTTGGTTGATGAATGGCCACACCAATTCCACCAAATGGTCTCAGTAGCCTTGTCGTGATCCCTGATATGTTATTAATGAATGGTGGGGCGATGCATTTGTTGATTTCTGTCGTTGGCTTTATAGTTGATGATCCATAGGATAGGCATCTTCTGATAAATTTTCATGTGTAGCCGTTCTTCTTTAGGGTGGACATGGAGTAATTTTCTTCGTTTCCCTGTCAAGTTGTTGTACTGCAGTGCAGTGTGTTCTCACTTTTTTGAACAGAGTCTGCACACAACTGATCTTGTGGGTTGTTGGGTTGTTGCTACTGTAGTTGATGATGTGATCAGTGTGTGTTGGCTTCCTGTACACTTGGGTTTCCAGTTTTCCAGCATTGCTATTGGTATTGTTATTCAGGTCTGACAACTATCAACAGATGGAAGGATAGATATAGACTCAATCTATCAAGAAATGGGGAATAAGGATAAACGACAGAAATGTCATAGGTCAAGGAGAACAGCCAACAGGAAAATCTATACAGTCAGTCAATGACACAACAGTCAGATGAAACAACCAATCACAGACCCCTTCTCCACTGTGAATTTGATTTCGTTGAAAATGTTGTTGATCAAACTGTGAGTGTTTTCTATAGATGTTTTTTTATTGATGACATAAGTGACGTCCACATAGCAGATCTAAAGTTTGGTTTAATCACAGATAGGATGATGGTCTCCAGTCTCTGCATCACTGCTTCTACAGTTAGTCCGGATATCGGTTATCCCATTTGTATGTGTTGCCGATGGATTGGAAGTATGTTGTCAGACAAATCGATGTGTTCCAACATTTAATCCCACTTCTATGACATAATGATGAAATATGAATTGCACAATTTTTATTATCATTATTTGTTTTTTGGGTTCCCAGTAGAACATACGCCATCAGGAGTACGTCGCCATTTCATTATCTTCTCTCCGGTTTTCTCAACCTGGCTCCACGACTGTCCAGAAGCTCTCACTTCTTCCTCAAACCATCTCTTCCATGTCACCCTTGGACACCCAACTCGTCATTCCCCGTTTAGCTTCCTCTTGATGGCCTGGCCTGACGCAGGATGTCCCCAAACCATCTTCTCAGTGTGTACAATCCAATCCGTCTCCACTTTCTTCTGCATATTTGTTGAGCGATAGCTTCTTGCTTCATCGGTTCGTTGCCAGGCCAGAGTTCCTGCTTCCTTATTTTTTCTGGCCTTCTCACTTGATCTTCAGTACCGAGCCAGCGTAGGCAGCTATTCCTGTATGTCTATAGGTTGTTGGAAATGCGCTAAGTCTCTCAACCATCACACAAAAGCACTGATTTGATTGACTCAGTGTAGAAAATATGGATCTTGTTGTTTATGCTGGGCACAGTGCAGTTCAGTAGATCTCCACACTGATCTCTACAGATTAATGATGGCCTGTATTGCTTTACTTTTCCGACGCTGGCTTTGACATCCTCATCTGTGCCTGTGCCGCCTGTAGTTGAAAGCTTGTTGCATAGGTTGGTGAAAGATTTCTCCCGTTCATGGTAAAAGGTGCTTGTTGTTGTTGATTAGATATCTTCATCACCTCTGTCTTCTCTACGTTCATCTGAAGGATGTCCCGTCTTCGCTGCCCTGAGTCTTCTGTCAACTTGTTGGTTTTCGCCTGTACATCTTCTGGTTCGTGCGACACAAGATATTGAACGCAAATCATCGTCTGCGAGATTCAAATCTTCCAGGGTCTTTTCATCGGTCAAACAGTGTATGTCCATCTTCTCGCTCCTCACGGTTTCTTGCATGATCTAGTCTAGTCCAGTGCAGTCGATTACAGTCAGGAAGATCATTGGTGATAGTAGGTGACAGTCCTGTCTTGTCTTACTCATTCGGTTACTTTTGAACTAAGGAACAGTAATTCAAATCATTGATAGAAAATCAGTTTACGGTTACTGCTATGAGTAATAAACTTTTTGACTTGTAGGTCAGTACCAACTCACTCCATTGTTTTCATTACTTTTGTTGTGTATCCACTGCTTTCTCGTAAGACTAAGTTATGTTTATTAGTTGTGATGACTGTAGTATTTCAGTCGTTAAAAGTTTTCAGTATATTATTTCTGAGTTACAACCAGAATTGGTAATTACCATTTAATTAATACTTGACAGAACTGGCGTAAAATCATGCTCCTGTCCACCACAAGTAAAATATTATGCCGCATCATCCTGGAGAGATCAAAAAATCCTCTGCATTCAAAATGACGACTGGAACACGTTGGTTGGCTTCAGGATGAACAAATCATGTGCGGATCAAATTACAACACTACGCTACGCATCATCATAGAACAGAGCATAGAATGACAGTCAACTGTACCTGTATCTCAGCTTTATCGACTTTGAAAAGGCCTTCAATAGAGGCATCGACCGAGAAGTAATTTGGCAGGCAGTTGCTTGAACACTACGGTTTTAGTGCCGAAATTCTTTATCAACCTCATTCAACAGCTATATGAAGACGCCACATGTCAAGTGATTCACAATGGGAAGCTCAGTGATGCCTTTGAAGTGAAGATGGGACTAAGACTAGGCAAGGTTGCCGCATATTATTACCCATGATCTTCCTGATTATGGTGGACTGGATCATGCATGAAACTGTGAGCAGCGAAAAGATAGGCATGCACTGTTTGTACGATGAAAAGACCCTGGAACATTTGAATTTCGTCGACGCTGATTTATGTCTAACATAATTAACATTCAAGCAATATCGAAGTATCCGCATAGAAGCCTATATGCTTACGGAGGTCGAACAATTCCATCCAATGTAACAACAAAGAATTTCAAGCTTAATAATAAATGGTAATAACTAAAACCCGTTGTACAAGAAGTGCCTATCGTACCTCCGTGGGATGATGCATAACGCCTTGACGTTTGAAATGATGGATACGAGGTTCGTGTGTCAGTAGCAGCAACACCACTGGGGTGTTGGTACATCCAGCTGGTGAGTCCCAAATAGGACGGAATGCTTCTCTTAAATTCTCCTGCTAGCCACAACCAACTAAATTACAGCAGTTTTATTTTAATTATTATTTGAAAGCATTCAATAAGAGCATCTTGTGTGTGTAGTGCTAAGGAGTTCCATACTTAGGTGTTACATGAATCAAAATAGCTTATTCATTATCATTTTGACTATATGAGATAGTTGTAGTTTGGTAGACTTGTATTGATCTTGGGAGATAATTAAAGGTGGAATGAGAAATAAGACGGTGGAGGGATTCGAACCAGTTATCACTGGGCTCACATTGACCCACTTGTTGATATCGTTTGAAAAGATAACATCTTTCCTGAAGTTTTCAACATACGTTTTAGTCAGATAAGACAGCTAATGATTAACTAACTTTAATTAAAAAAAAACCGATTTTTCCACTCCTTTGTGACAGTTGTTTCATCATATAATGGTGATTGTTTATATAGGAAGATATGAGGATAACTCCAGCCCTTTGAAACTTATATCCCATAGGATAGAGCACTTACTCAAATATCAATGATAAGGTGTAAATGTGTTTCTAGTTTTGCTTACCCTTTTAAATGTTAAAAAATATTTAACAAAAACTTATTTCTTACTTAGTTTAACTTGAACTAAATCGTGTATATAAATGTGTTTCAACAGATTTCCAAGTGTTCTCATTCTTGGTGTTCTTCGATAACATGTTCTCAGAGTACATGATCCACTTGTTCCATGACATCGGCAATATCGTTCCATATTCTTAATAACTAACTGAAATGAGGGAAAGATGCATTGAATTACTTAAACTACTCTTTTCATCTGCATTACTTTGAAATTTATCTTAAAGAAACATGAATTATTTAGAAAAGATAATAATGAGATTATTATTATTATTTGTCCCATGGGTTCCTAGTGCAACATAGGGCTTCAGTAGCACGTCTCCATTCCACTTTCTTCTCTGCAAACTTTTGAACCTGATTCCATGACAGCCTAGAGGCTCTCATCTCTTCCTCACATCATCTCCTCCATGTCACCCTCGAACGCCCAACTCGTCGTTTCCCATCTGGGTTACACTCGAACAACTGGCATGGTGCGTGATGTCCCCAATCGGTCTTCTCAGTGCATGCCCAGTGATAGGTTCTTGGTTGGTTCGTCACCAGAGTTCCTTGTTGCCTATTCTTTTTGGCCATTTGATCAGAGCTTCAGTAATGAGCCAGCATAGGCAGTTGTTGATGAATGTCTGCAGTTTGTTGGAAATGTTTTTCAAAAAGCACCAAGTATCTGAACCATACAGGAGCACTGACTTGACTGGATTGGTGTTGAAAATCCGGATGTTGTTCACGCTTTATGCTGAGTGTAGAAGATCTCCACACTTGTTTCAGGGTTGATGAAGGAAGGCCTGTCTTGCTATCTTTCCGAGCCTGACTTTGACGTCCTCGTCTGTGTCACCTATAGTTGAGACAGTGCTGCCTAGGTGGGTGAAAATAATAATGAGATGGGTCACTGAAAAGCAAAACAAGTCTGAGTCACTGAAGGGTGGGATCACTCCCCCTAAGGTTTCATACAAACGCTAATAAACATCAAATCTAGGTCAAACAAGGCTAACAGACAGTCGTCTTCAACTATGCAGCATCAAACAGAGATTTATAAAATGATTTTAAAGCAGTTGATAAACAACTCAACTGAAAATAATTGTATACACTTCACATATGAGCGCATCCTTTGCTATAGGATCTAAATAAATTTTAACGTGATGACAGAAACAACTTCATTGACGAATAAGTTTGGTCACTTTAATTTAGAGAGACAGAATGGAAATATGACAGACCTCATTGACATTTAATACTCACCAGTCAATAGGCACTTATTGTAATTCATTATTGTACCTTCATAACATCAAGTTTTAGGTTCTCCTTATAGCGAAGGAAGATTCGATTTGATGAATCTTGACAGAAACGAAGAGTTCAGTCCAAATCTTAGTGTTAACCGCAACTAAGACATTAATAGAACTTGATGCATAGTAGATGGAAGGACTATCAGTTTGTTCAATCAAAATAACTTTTTTTAAACAGCAATATAACGAGAAAACTTTTAAACTGAATGTTCAACATTAGTTTTATTTTACTCACTAATTTCTTTTTTTGATCAAAACATCTGACCTATTACAGATGATCAATGAAGTGATCTTTGTTTATTATAGTCCAGTTTAACACATATTTTTAAGGTGGAAGTCTGCTCATTGATAGAAACAAGCCGGTCAGGTCTAGGCCCATAAATACGTCTTAAACCGCCTTCCAACCCAGTCCAACTATTCTTAGCGTTGCATGTCGAGGTGAGTAGTGGTTTGGCATGCGCAAGACATGTCCAAACCACCTCAGTCGGTAGAGGTCCACAACCTCATACAGTGATCTACATATCTTGCCCAGTACTCTCTGTCTAACCTCAACAGTGCTCACATTATGATTCTACCTTACGGGAGGAATGCTGCGAAGACACCCGCAGTCATAAACCTGTAACCACTTCTTCTTTTAACGTCTGTGTCTCACAGCCATATAACAGGAGGGTGTTGGACTCCATAGTAAACTGGTCCTTTAGTAGGCAGTCGGATATCTCGTCATCACTAGAGACAGTAGGAGTTGGTAAGTGGCGAACAGGCCTTCTATGTCCAAGCTGAAATTTTTTCAGCTATCAACTAGTTTGGACTCAAGTAACATTCATATTATATGACTTATTTCATAACTCACACAGTGATACAATGTAATTTACTGGATGACATTTCAAGGAGAATTTATTGCTCACATTCATCCAGTAAATTACACTATATCACTATGTGCAATATCAAATAAACCATGTGATATAGAACTGAAATCAACCACAGTGCTGAAGTTTTAATCTTACATATACTGATGCAACTTCACAAGCGTTCAACACATTCTACTACTAACTGTCCTTATGTCCGACTAGGTTGTTCCCTATTCCCCCACCCCCATCATTATTTCTCACTGTGAGGTGTGGTGATCTTGGATATAATCCCTAAAGATGTCAGGAGTGTATGTTGCTGTGAAGTCTCAAATTAAGATTAACTAACCGTTCAGTGGCCCAAATTTTCAATATTTCTGTAAATGATATCAGTTTGTGATCAATACTACCTTGAGATCAGTCAATTCTCATTAACCCCCTAAAGTGAATTACCCTGTAGTGCTCATTAATAACATCATGAGAGATGAATTTTCCGAGGTTATGTTGTGAACAACCATGATCTGTGGTGTCAGACAAGTTGGGTGTAAGGATAAATATTCACCAATGGCATGTATGTTAGTCACACTGTGTCTCTAATTGAAAGAAACAGGAAAACAGATCCTTACCCAGTAGCTAAGTAGTAAAGTGCTCATCGCAAGACTTCATAGCGTTGGGTTCGTTACCTAGTAGAATCGTAGATGTGCATTGATGAGGAGTTCCATACTAAGAAAAATATCTTTCCAATGCTTCTCCAACTCATGTCAATCCGTGATGAACACTACGCCGTAAACCCTTATAATATACACCGTAGAAATGTACATCTAAGTAGTTAATGATCGTTTTATAAAGTTGAAACTCACTTGTCTACCAACACCATTATTATGTAAATTCATTTCAAAACGTATATGTGAACCACGTTCCATTGTATCCAATAAACGTCGTGAAAATCGTCTTCCATAATGAATATTATGATCACATCCTTGCCATTGCCAATCAGAATAAGGTTCTTGTCGACCACGATTGTTGCACGGACAATTATCAATTTGATTTAAGCAAGCTTCAGCAACCGATTGAACTATTCCAGCATTGATGATTGAATATACAAATGCAGTCTGTGGGATACCTTTGGGTTAGAGATGCATGAATGTGCTATGATTAATCATACTCCATGAATAAACTTCAATCTTTTGTCATAGACTAACTGTTCAGTAAATTGGTTTGTTGTGGCTAGCAGAAGAATCCAAGAAACGTGTTCTGTCCTATTTGGGACTCGTCAGCTGGATGTACCTGCACCCAGTGATGTTGTTCCTACTGGGACTCGAACCTCGTACCCATCGCTTCAAACGTCAAGACGTTATCCACTATCTCACGGAGGAGTGATAGCCACTTCTCGTACAACGGGTAGTAGTTATTACTATTTATTGACATACTTGTTATTCTCCGTTGTTTTGTTAGATCGAACTGTTCGACCTTGATTGGCATATGGGCTCCTATGCGCATACCTCGATATTGCCTGAGTGTTAATTATGATTAATTGGTTGTACAAAAACGTGCTAACGTTCCTCCTTGGCGTAATGGAAAACGCCTTGGTATTTGAGGCAATGGATGCGAAGTCCGAGTTCCAGTGGGGACAACGTTGCTGGGGTGCAGGTACATACAGATGACGAGTCCTAAGTAGGACTAGAAGCGTTCCTTGGGTTCTCTTGTTAGCCACAAACAACCAGTTTTTCATAATTAACATTCAGGCAATATCAAGGCATACGCATAGGAGCCCATGTGCTAATCAAGGTCGAACAATTCGATCCAAAAAAACAACGGAGAATAACAAGTATGTCAATAAATAGTAACAACTGTTTAGTGATTAAATTGTGCTTTGTCATAGCTGAAAGGTTCCAAGGACGTCAGATATTTATGCTGTCCGGTATTCAACAATCAACTTATGCCTGATTAGCTAACACAAGCTCACATTCTAGTTATACAAATGTACAACTCAAGAGTCTAACGGACACTTTGTGGTGACCAGATTGCCATATTCCTTCTCGCGTGCAATAAAGGAAGAACCCAAGACTTACTTTCTATTAGGTATATGAAATAGAGAGAAAATATATTCCAATCCAGTGTGTCAGAAAGTTCATAATTATACTGCTATATCATCAATCTTGAAAGTGTTGAAATCACTGTGATCAGGCTGGAGAAATCTTCAGATCGACCTGAGAGGTTTCTAACTATTCAGTTTGTTCAGTAGTTTGTATATTTCTTTAGTTTATAGCACTTTTTAGTCAGTGGAAGTATATTTTTATCTTGACTAGGTGGTTTCCAATGGAAACTCTGTTGATAGTTGAAAAATCACTTACCTGTGAGAAATGTCAACGTGAACTGTGGAATTTATAAATCAGTTGTAAATTGATCATTCGGTTGTAGGTATACCTGTCAATATATTCAGATCAGCTAGCCAAGTTTAAGCAGTCTGAATCAGCTGAATTAGTTCAAGCAAACTGATGATGGATCCAGCCTGAAACTAGTGAAATGTCCGTCCGTTGGTTATATCACTGTCGTCTAACTGCTTGACGAAATCTAAACATCAGCCTGTTCAGTAGTCATGCATTTCGATATCTTGTTAAGTGAAATATATAATGAACAAAAACAATCTGAGCGAAGAATATTCTTTTCAATAAATTCTCATCACCTTCTGCAACTATAAAGTTTAACTATACAAAGTAAAACTAGGCCAAGTTTAAAGTTTTTATTACGGAATACAAGGTAAGAGCTGCTGTATTTTTCTTTTTGAGTTTGTTATTATTAAGATGACTTTTGTATAAATGAAGAATGTAATGTTAAGTTGCATATTTCGCTTACTTTTTAAGGCGTTTCATCTAGAGTTTAAAAGTGTAGAGTTCTGGTTAAAAATAGAGATAAATTATATGAATTCGACAAGTTAGTTTCTTCGAGTACTACTGTTCATAAATGCTCATTCAAACGATATAAAGACTAAGATAATACAGCTGATGACTGAATTTTGGAGACAAAAAACACAAAAGTACCATCAATTATTGACAGATTTTTCAAGATTCATCTTGAAAATCAGTTTAATTTTTCTGAAGAAATTATCAGGAAATCTCATTGGATTCGATGACTTTTTCATCAATTCAACCTGATTCGATTGGTAGGAAATCGATCTTTTCCTAGTTAGCTAAAAATTTCTTCTACTTATGCACTACCCCTGTCTCTCGCAGTTTGATACTACTTTCCCGATGAGTTTTATAGGTCATATACTTTCATAATATTATTATATCAGCAGATTTAATTGTTTAGTTCTGGTGAAATACTGTAGTGGGCGTTTCTGGTCAGAATGGATATAGGTAGTATATGTTTAGAGGGCGGCAGAAACCATAGAGAAATTACCAGTTATTTATCTATGGTGACTGCACCACAGCTACTGCTGTACCTATTAGCTGTCTGGTGACCTTGGCGAGATGACTAATATAAATGGGTTGGGTTGCGTCCACTAATCTTAGCCGTTGGGCGATGGCATTTGGGACACTTTCGGTGAACTGTAAAGTCAGCAAGTGCTTCTAAGAGTCCTCATTTAAATAATAAAGTGTTCGTCGAAGTAGGTCAGTCAACTTCACAACCAATACCACTAGATCTTTGTCTATTCCAAGTTTCGTGCTCCAGAACTGCTGCATCGCCAACTCCCTATCCACTGGGCTGTCAAAATCCGCCTCCAGTCGTTCAACCATTCTCTTCCAAGTCTTCCTGCCATTTACACACTCCACACCGTCACATACTGCTTTCACTCGACCCTTTGGCAATGTGCAAAGCACAACACCCTTCGCTCTTGGATCCTGGACATCCACCAGCTCCGCGACCAACTCGAAGTCCTTGAGAAAAACCCTAATGTCTCCATCCTTAAACACTGTAGGCCACGGAATCTTCATTACATCCAGAAACAGTGATATCAATTAAAAGAAATGCGAATTCAGAGACGAAGGAAGGAATATTTATTATCGACATCTTGTACAGTAGTGATGAAATAATGTACACTTTCCACTAAAACAGTCATTTGCATAATGTACTTCATTTCCTATACTCCTTCTATCTCTATTTGCTCCTAATACGTCCACTTGGTCTCTTACATTTCTCTGGGTAGAATCCTTTCCTATTGCTAGTGTTTCCCTATAATTTCCGCCACCCTCTCAACATATGCTACTCATATCCATTCTGATCAGCAACGCCTACTACACTACTACTTTCTAACCAATCTACTGTTTATCTTGTTTTGTTTATGCACGTCGTTTAAATTGTTTCTGACAATGATAAGCTCAGTAATTTGACAATGAACTTTGGAAAACACAGGCAACTATCTCTGTGTTCAAACAATGAAGTATACAGAAAATCAGGGTGATTTTAAAGGACACACTACCTAAACTTACTGAAGTAACCAATTAAGTTACTTTATTTCATTTGAACAAGTGGCTTTTCTTTCATATATCAAAGAAAAAACTAACTATCTACTTGAGCGACTTTAAAGCCACCCTAGCAACGATAGAAATAAACAATTAGGTTTCTTTATTTCGCCTGGAAAGTCATATTTTCATAAAATATAGAAATCTGATTGGTTATTCCAGTTGTTGGTAGGGTAGTCACTCGGTTATTTTATCGGTCACTAGGGTGAATTTTAGAGTCACTTAGATTGTTATAATCATACAACAGTTTGAAGGTTGCACACTGGATATTATTCTTTCAATCATGTGATACAGGCTTAACAGCTTATTATCTAATGAATTACCTATAAACAGATAAATCATCATATATCAGTGGTTAAGTAAATATTCTGCTTAGTATGATCCCGATCAAAAATGGTGGATTCCTGTTCGATGAATCGATTACTTACAAACCTCTATATCAAACTACCAATCTAAGAAAGAAGGAAGGTTTCTATTTCAGAATGTTTGAATTGCTGAAATAATCTTTTGACAGTATTTTTCACTGAAAGACGATGGCTATTGATTTGTTGCAGTATCACATTTTCCGGTAACAACTAAAAACTGTTGTAAATTATTAGATTGATTCATGATGTTAGTGATAGTCTTCGCAGTGAAATATCTTAGTTGAAGAATAAACAATCAATGTGTTAACGCTTTGAAGCCATTCAATTTCTCTAACATTTCTAGGTTCAATTGCTGACATTTAAGGTCTTTGAAATGACCTTGAACCTACCCATAAGGACAGTTGTTTATTCGTATTTTGAGTAGAAAGTTGAGATGGAATTGTAGTATGTAGACTCTCGTATTTTGTATGAATTTCTTTAGCCCTATACAACCTTGACAGATAGATGAATAATCACAGTAGCAAGTGGAAATCAATGTCATAGAATTTCAGTTAATGTTCAATGATCACAAAAGAATATTTCAATTCACAGTAGAAAGTTATTGGAAGTAGTAAAATGCAGTGAAACTAAAGAAATGTTATGTTGTGGTTGTTCTCTAGTAATTGAAATAAAATTAGATATGAAGAGAAACGGTTCAATAATCTTTTCGATAAAATGATAAGCGAGTCAAAGAGATTATAGTGAGAGTAACAATTACAGTTATGCACTAGTAGTGGCGTCTTTTTGAATGCATAATTCATGTCAAACTCATCAGATGGCAGCGACCTTAGTCATTTGAAGTAGACATGAAGTTCTACCATGAGTGATTTCGATATGCTGATCGAGTATTCTTTATCAAGTAACTGACACGCTATTCATAGCGTAAATTGAAGCTAAACTTCTTTAGTGCAGACTCCTGGTTACATTTAAGATCATTTTGATGCATAACTGCCTCATCGTTCTTCTCTTGTACTTACAGCCGCATACACACGCGGACTCATATAGAGTTAATTAATATACGAGTAAAACTGGGGCGCTGTTTATTGGATGTGTTACACAGTGATGCAGGAATAATTACTAAATAAATTTTCGAACAAAATTTATTGTCTGTATATCATATAAGGTAATTCTACAACTTTCAGTTATGATTTACATAGTTCTAATTCTCTCATTCTTTTTGATAAGGGCAGTAGAGTTTTTCATATATCTGGGACAAGTGCAGAATCATTTCTATTACTGCATGCAGTGTTGATTTGATATGGAGAGATTTAGTTATCAGTCTCTTCATCCAGCCAACTAAGTTACTTTTTCATACTGCTTCTCTGTGTCCCACGTCTTCGTGTTTAATCGTATGCATAGCTATAATCTAGCTTTTCACTAAATTCCTTATCTTATTAAGATCTATTCATCTTGATTCAGTTAAGTTTCCGTCCTTTGTTGTTCTAAGCGACCCTGGTGGACTACTCTCACCCATATATTTGACTTCAGTATCATTGTAAGGGATTTCGTAAACTAAATTATTTTGATTAAGTTGAACAATACAATCTTTAATTTTACACAGCTTGTTTCTAAGCGAGTTTTTTGGTTTAAATATCACTATAATCGTAGCTTTATTGAAAATTCTTCATAGACCTTCTGAAGCGCCTTCTTTGTGTGGTAACACAGTAGAGGTTTTGAATTCTGTCTGAAACCTGTCACCATTATTATTTCCATTATTATAAGCAGTAGTAGTAGGATTACTATTAGCAAGATATTCTTGACATGTCTAGTTTCTTTTCTAAGACTTTCTATCCTAGTATGGAAAATTTTACCATCTTTATCACAAAGAAGGGGAGAGAATTGGAAGTATGTTACAAGCCAGGCCTCAAAGTTATGGAATTTCCTAATATGAATATGAATCGTAAATTATACACTAAACGTTATCCACTAATTAATACAGTATTCCTGTATAACAACATCTGAAAAACATGACTAAAATGAGATTACATTTGAAGTTACAGAGAGACAAAAAGTGGTTTAATTTGATTAAGAAGGAGAAGTTTTTCAGCTAGACAAGATGTTGACAGTACACTTCTCATCCGTTTATCCCTTCAGCAAAATCATGTTCAAAACTTTCCTCTCATTGAATTGTTGATGTAAATGCACGGAATTCACCTCTTCAGTCTCTTTTCTTTAAAACTAAAGGTGAACAAGGCGATTTTCATTGCAATAACTTATCTTGTTAAGGTAACAATTTAGTCCATGAAATTAACAAAATCAATACTAATTCTTACCTTTTAAAAGGATATTTCCAAATAATGCTGTCTCATCATCAGGCACTTGACTACAATTCCATCTTTCATGTCTGAATTGATAACGACATTCAGCAACAGCACGTCGTACACCCACTACAGCAGCTTCAAATAAGGCCAAATTAAATTTAGCTGGTGAATTTATCCTACTGATAGTTGTATCAGCGGTGTTAACTGTATCATGTGTTAAAAATTGTTTCCATTGTTTGGGTGAAAGCCATTGCTTATAGCGTTGTATCCGTTGTCGAACATGATGTTCTATCCATGCTGTACTATGCATCATACGCTGTGAAATAAGAGAAGAAGTTTACCCACTGTTAGTCACTATCCATTATTAATTTATAAATTAAACATAGAGAATATCGAGATATCCAGGTAGGAGCCCGTATGCCAATAGAGACTGATCAGTTTGGTTCAACAGATGATGGGATAGTACGAACAACACCACCCAAACTATACACGTCGCACAAGAAGTGCTTGTCATGGCTTGGTGGTGTAGTGGGTAACGTTGTAGCGCTTGGAGTGATCGGTCCCTAGGTTGAGTTCCGGCACAGGCACACCTAGCTGACTAGTTCGTTGCAGGACGGAACGCATGTCCTGGATTCCACTGCTAGACACTATCCATCATTAGTAGAAAAAAATCTGTTAGATAGAGAAACAAAGTGGTTTACTTATTAAATGAACTGATAATTAGCTAATCAACCAAGTCTCCATTGTGTTTTGTATGAATGAAAAATAGTTTATATAGGTTTAACACTAATTTCTTGCTAGAAAAAAGAACTCGGTTTTCTTCAGTTATGCTAAGTGACTGGAGGTGATTAACAGGAGATTCTGATCAACCAACGTTTTTTGTTTGTTGATATACAAGAGAATTGATTCCCTCGAAGAGACTGGATTCAGAGACGTTATAAGTGACCTTTCAAATGATGATATTTCTGATGCTCTTTGCTAACGAGTACCGAGAACCACGAAACCTCCATTCAGTAGGACTACTTTCTGCTGATTATTTTCAACCACTCAACATTATTTAAACATGTAAGGTGACTACGAGTCATCTAGCTTAGTGACCATATTGCAAAAGTATTTTGCATTATTTCACCAACAAGAGGGACTAGACACTTAGAAGTTGGTTACCCTACAGGAACCATTCAACATAACTTCCATAAGCTAATTACAATCTAGTTTACCTAATTGTTTCACGCATTTCATGGAAGCGTTACCATTATTATGTGTGCTAATACTTTTTAAAGAAATAACTACTTCGAATATCAAGCTGAAGTATTCAAAACAGTTAATGGTTAGTAATTCGATTGTTTTGTCAATGTATAAAGACTAACCCCGCTTATCGGAATTTGAAAATACCCTTACAACTATTCTAATCACAACTCATTCCTTTAGACAGTAAGTGATCTCTTAACCAAAGGTGAACGAAAACTGTTAATCTTATTATAAATTTCGAGTCTTCTTCATTTTTCAGAACTTTCCAGTCTCTCCTCAAGAAGCTGCATTTTATATTCTACTGACTGATGTGTGTAATTATAGGATACCCATACCGATGAGAAGTATTCTCTAGTCACATAAGGTGGTCTAAACACCATACGGCCTATTCTCTCATCTGTGATCGACCTCATCATCTGTACACCTGGACTGATGCAGCTTACCGAACTATTTTAACTACCCGAATTTTTGTGTACGTGGTCTAGAACTACTCAAGTTAGTTAGTAGTATATTGTGTGTAAGCGAATTCTCACAATCTCTACACCAGTTGTGGTGTTAAGCAGATCACATTACATGATTTAAATATTTGGGTTTCCTTGAGAAATCACAGTGAGATTTCTCACCATGCAGTAGGTATTTCGCAAACAGCTGATGTTATCACAATTAAAGAACCTTCAACCTTTATTCAACAGCTATATGAAGATGCTACATGCGAAGTGAATCACAGCGGATAGCTCAGTGATACCTATGAAGTGAAGATAAGAGTAAGACAAGTTTGACTACTTTCAACCACGATCTTCCTGAGTGTGGTCGACCGGACTGGACTGGACTGGATCATGCAACATACTATGAGGAGCGAGAAGAGGGGCATACGCAGTTTGACAGATGAAAAGACCGTAGAAGATTTGGATTTCGCTTATGATGATTTATGTATAATGCCTAGTGTCGCATAAACTCGAAGATGTACAGGCTGTAACCAAAGAGTTGGCAGAAGAGGCGAGGCATCGGAAACGGCACTTTCATCAAGTGAACGTGGAGAAGACAGAGATGATGAAGATACCCAACCAATAACAACAATAGCAACAAGCACCAATTACCATCAACAGGAGAAATGTGAAGGAAGTAGTCTCTTTCACTTACTCACACAGGCAGCATCGTCTCAGCTATAGGTGGCGGCGGCACAGATGAAGATGTCAGAGCCAGGATCGGAAGGACAGCAAGACAGACCGCTTTTCATCAATCTGAAGTCAGTGTGGAGATCTACTACACTGCACTGCGCTCAGCATAAACAACAAGATTCGGATTTTCAAGACTAAGCCAGTCAAGTCAGTGTTTTTTTATGGTTCAGAAACTTGGCGCGTTACGAAAAGCATTTCCAACAAACTACAGACATTCATCACATGAACGGCTGCCACCTACGTCCACTCGGTACTGAAGATCAGATTACAAGGCCAAAAAGAAGAAGGAAGAAGGAACTCTGGCCTGGTAACGAACCAACGAGAAATAATTGCATGTTTAGTGAAATCCATTAATTTGCATTATCCCATTTTGGTGCTTAAAATTGGTTGCCTCATTTTATAAATTATGATGCATTGTGGTCGGGTAATTCAGCTGTATATACAGATGAATCAGATCGCCCAATATATGCGGGTGATAAGGACCAGACTATGTGTTCCGTTTTACGTGGTTGTAAAGGAGGGCTGAAATGGATGGCTGATCGTCTTGATAGATTGATTATACGAATACTAGGCGCATACATTCAAGACGTGTTGTGTGAAAGTTGGTCAGCTATAGGACTGAATCAGCAGAATCACTTGCTTAAGACAAATGTACCCGGATAGTTATAACAATGAGCTCTGGCCTTGACTACAAGTTATAATCTTTTTCTAACATGGTACACAATGAGGTCTTATTGTAGTTTGTAATCTTTTCTAGTTGGACACGGATAAGTATAAATCATCTTCAAGTGCTGATAGAACTTCACTAAGCAGTATTCTGGAAGAAACTGTATTCTTCTCTTCAGTCGTGGAATCAGTAAAGCTAAAATATTGTAGCTTTGTAATTAATTCATTCAGTCAACTAACATGAAACATTATCCATTTTAATATAATTGTTTTTATATCATATCCTCTCTGATTAGACCTAGTTGATCGGTCTCTATTGGCATATGTGCTCCTTGGAGGATGCCTCGATATTGCCTGCGTTCTACGTTAATGATGGGTCATGGCCAGCAGTGGAATTTAGGATGTGCGTTTCGTCCTATTTGGGTGTACCTGCTTCCCAGTGAGTGTTATTCCCACTGGGATTCGGACTCGGGAGCGACTGTTTCAGACGATAGCGCGTCATCCAATACACCACCAAGCCACGATAGCCACTTCTTGTGCGACAGGTATAATTTTAGGAAGCAGGCACATCCAGCTGACGAGTCCGAAATAGGACGAAATACACATCCAGGATTCCACTGTTAGCTACTGCCCATCATTACTGTACATAATTAAAACACAGGCAATATCGAGACATCCGCACAGTAGCCCATATACCAACACAGACTGATCAGTTCGGTCCAATCAACAACGGTGTCATACAGGCAACAACACTGAAACTATAACCGTTGCACCAAAAGTGTCTATCGTGGCTTAGTGGTGTAGTGAATAACGCTCTGCTGTTTGAAGCGATCGCTCCCGAGTCCCGGTGGGAACAACATCTTTCGGCACTGGTAGGCAGGTACATCCAGCTGACCGGTGAGTCCGAAATAGGACGAAATGCGCATCCTGAGTTCCGCTGCTAGTCACGATCCATCATTAACATTACTTACTTCGATTTTAGAATTTTTAGAACTTTAGAAAGCCTGAAGTTAGATACTAACGTGAATATAAAGTGAAAAATGAACTTTATATAAAACATTCTCACTATGAGCATAGTATATTCACAATGGATTAATTTTGAGGTTTATTTTGGCGGTAATTAGTTAAATTAAACTTTATACTCGGTGGTGATTGAGGGTAAAATGAAAATTTGAACCGCAGCTAGAGTCGAACCAGCGACTCCCACGTTTCCGGTCCCATGCTCTACTAACTCACCTAAGAAGTCCGACTGCTGACCACATTTTTATCTCACTTCAATCACAGGCGGGGTTTTTCCCGACTGCATTACTACCGCTTGATTGTTTTCACACTGGCTGCCTAGTCAGGACTTCTCATCCCAATTCCAAATAGTGGTTAAAGTAAAATAAAATCTGATTAGAGATCGGACCTCGTATGTAAGTTGGTAGAGCATCGGGCTACAAACCCAGTGGCCGCTGGTTCGAATGCGGCCACAGTCCAGATCTTCATTTCACCTTAAACCATCACCGAGTATAAATACTAATCTGTCAAACTATAGCTATCCGAGATAGTCAAGTGATAATAAATTAGGATTTTCATACATCAGACAAAACACTTAAATGATTCGTTTTTCATACACCATTAGGTCATCAGAAAGCCTAGACATCAACTTACCGCAGGAACTTGTCGTTTCCATCCGTATACTGATGGGTAATCTTGATTATTATTATTATTATCGTAATTGTTGTTATGAATTTCACGATTCATGTATGTAAGTATCTGTCTCTCATTTTGATAATTGATTCCTGGAATATTATTCCATGGTAACATATTACTGTTCATAGTAGTTGAAGACGGTTTATCGCTGTCAGTATATATTTCAATAATTGGGTTCTGTAATGTTCTTGAATTTCCAGACAAGGTTAGGGGATGTGAATGTAAGAGTTTAGCTATTGTATCCAACCTAAGAAACAAATAAGTTAAAAAACACTCCTCATTTTATACTACTAACAAGTAGTTAAATTATTTAACCAAAATAATGACAACATAAAAACCAGTTTACATCTTTATGATAGTTCACTAATGGCATTTTCGTGCCTAGATATGATACATCTCAACCTTCAGCTAATTTCTAGAAACCTATCAGTCATTTCAATCTACACTCGCAGAACAGTTCACAATCGACAAAACCTGTCAATACATATGGATGAGTCCAGTAATATAATCACCAAAATACCCTTTCTGATCATATGCAGATGTGGTGACAGTTTAACTGAAGAAACACTTTGTCACATCCCAAAGTCGTAGGCCAATTTCTTTTTATGTTTGTACTGATGGTGCTGTTTAGAATGGTGATAAAAGATCTGTGACATAGAAATCCAGTACAGAAACCATGAATATTACCAGGATCATCCTTTTGAACTGTAAACAGTTCCCTTAATTTAATACTTCAGGGACCTGAAAGAAATTGCTGAAATTCAGCTACAAGATCCACTCAATCTGGTTCGATGGAAATATTGATGAGATTGACTGGTGTACAACTATAAAAATTAGTTTAGTATTTTATACTGAGTACCTTTCATTTTGACATTTGTGATGTCATTCATAATAGTAACCAGATAGAATATTCTCCTTTGAATTATATGCCCAACAAATATACACAAGAAGATGGAGATCAGTTGGATTGGGCATACACTGAGAAGACCGATTGGGGACATCATGCGTCAGACCAAGCCATAGAGTGGAAGCCAAATGGGAAACAATTAGTTGTGCATCCGACCGTGACATGGAGGAGATGGTGTGAGGAAGAAATGAAAGGTTATAGGCAGTCATGCAGCAAAGTTGAGAAGACTAGAGAGAACAGAGTGCAACGGCGACGTGTTCATGAAGCCGTATGTTCCACTAAGAACTCAAACGACAAATAATAGTAAAAATCAAACATTATCATAGTGAAATGTTTTGCTATAGTCCCATCAGCTGATGTGATATCCACTTAAGATTGTGTATAAGTTTCAAAGGAGTGATTCAATGCGTTACTAAATGGTATATAAACTTTTTAAAAACGTGACTTAACTGCAGTTATTCAGTAAAACTCAAGTTAAAATAATAAATTAGCAGAAGTAGAATAATAGAAGTAGTATTGAGAGTGATAATAGTGTAAGCATTAATCAAAGCAGTGTGAGGAGTAATATTAGGGTAAGCGCTATTTCTAAGAAGGTACATGAGTAATATACAGCGTAAAATCAAGCACAACTAGAGAAGTAAACGTTGTACTATGCTGATTACAGTAAAAACTCTGATCATTTGCAAAATGCTTGGTTATTCGCATTTTTCGAACCTCCAATAAGGATATTAGCAGTAAACTATGGCACTAGAGGCAGTCAGAAATTAACTACATACTGACTTACAACTTACTCAAAGAACCAAGGCGTCGGTTGATGAAATCATGTTAGGAGTGCAGTTATGCTTGACCTCGACCGTCTTCAAGTTTCAGAGAAAGATATATAGACAAACAGAAGGAGTAGCAATAGGATCATCAATATCCCTTATAGTAGCAGATATATTTATGGATAGTTGGGAAGATATGGCTTTACGAACATATAACCCGACACCTAAGATATGGTGGCGATATGTGGATGACACATTTACAGTGTTGAAATCGAAAGATATCGACAGTTTCTTGACACATATAAACTCAGTAGTTAATGCAATCCAATTCACTTACGAGGAAGTAGAAAATGAGCAAGGAGAACTACCTATATTGGATTGCAGAATAAAACGAAGGATAGATGGTGGTTTAGATACTACCGTCTACAGAAAACCAACACATTCTAACAGATATCTAGACTTCAAGTCATCTCATCCAGTGTCAGTTAAAGCGGGTTTAGTCAAATGTCTAAATAACAGAGCTAAGAAACTTACTAGTCATTGTAAGGACTTATATAAAGGATTGAAACACATAAAAGGAGCGTTAATAATTAATAATTATCCCCTTCATTTTATTAAGAAATTCACACAAACACATAAGAAGCAAAATAATAACAGTAATACAAATACAAATAATAGCGGCAACATAAGTAGAAAGGAAATCAACACCTCTATTGTGATACCATACAAGGAAGGAACATCAGAAACCATACGTAGGATTCTCAACAAGGTTGGAATTAAGGTGGCATTTAAACCAACAAACTCACTTAGAGGTAAGCTTTGTCGGCTAAAAGATCCGATAGAATCAATTAAGCAAAATAATATACTCTACCAAATTCCATGTAATGACTGTGAGGTCAAATACATAGGTCAAACTAGCCGGTCGGGGTCAGTGGGATTAGCAGAACATAGGAATTTAGCTAAATATATAACGATAGACCCCAATAAGATCAATAATCTAGAAAAACACTCGGCCATTGCATTACATTCATTAACACACAACCACACAATAGGGTGGGACAAAACCACTGTACTTAAGTCTAATATAGCTAGGTGGAGAGAGAGATTAATTACTGAATCTTTGTTCATCGAATCCACACCCAACACATGTAATAGGAATGACGCAACACCTATACCAGAGATATGGGAAACTTTACTACCAATCAAAAAACAAAGAAAAATCAGGTGAAAGGACCATAAAATCAGATATCGAAAGAAGTGTGATTACATTGATATGATTATGAGCAGTAATAATTTATGCTCGAAACGTAATCAAGTAAATAATACTGTATCACTGTGCGCTATATATCAAATAAACAAATCTAATATGGAATTACATTCTACCACAGTGCCCAAGTTTTACACTTATATTAATAAAGTAGAAAGTTTCCCCTTTATATTTTCTCATATTATTGTTCAATGTTTTCAGGCTTAAACCCAAAACAAAACTGATCCTATGCAACTGTAGAAGGTTTAACGAAATCTACTTTATATCAATAGTTAATGTACAAAAGGAGAAATTTACTCTCATCATATTCAAGAAGAATGACTTTACAACCAACTATTTCACCCTTCTCATTATTAGATGTTTGACTAAATGAAATTACTGTTTCAGATGATCTAATATTTCTGCTTTAAATTTTGAGGGAGTTGTGGAGATTAGGAAATATTTCAAGTTGTTATTCATCGAAGACTAACATCACTTGGAGGAACAAAGGAAACCTGGGAGCACTGGACAGACGTTTCGTCCTAGTATGGTAACGCGCTGGCCGCGGGACCTGAAGGTCGCGGGTTCGATCCCCGCTGGTTGGGTCGTGGGTGCGCAATGCGGAGGAGTCCTATACTAAGACGGAACGGATGTCCAGTGTTCCCAGGTTTCCTTTGTTCCTCCAACTGATGTCAGTCTTCGATGAATAACAACTTGAAATATTTCTGCTTTAGTTGATATCATACAATGTTTTGTTCTTCTATGTATCTCTTTTTCTATTTCTCTGTACCACTTCTTGTATTTTCTGGTGTTGATATACATATACAATGAAAATCATGTTAGGCATAATGTCAACTAGTAGTGTATGTATGCATATGTATGTGTACGATTAATCATATTTACATATGATGTTAATCTATCATAATATATCTCAGTGTTTATACTATAACATAGTCTGTATCCTTCTTTTACACCTTAGTTTTATGATAATAACAGATTGATGAGACTAGATCACTGGTAGAGAATATTCTTCACTTACATTCAAATATCTTGTAGTCATTTACCTCTAGAATGTAGATCCATTTCTAAACCCATACAAAAAGTTGTTTATCTTACATATGTTAAATATCCACATGAAAAAAGAAAACGTTAGTGATCAGTATATTCGAAATACCTCATAATAACAATAATAATTTTTCACCATTTTTCACCTAAATTGTTTACATTCATACTTCTTTTCTTTTCTTTTTCAATCTCATAAATTAAACTTAATAGTTGTCTATGCGTAAGGTTAAAAAAAGGGGAACAAGAAGTTTATGAATTAATTCACACACATCTCTATATTTTAAGGGTGGAGAATAAAAATGTAAATAAATATACAATAGTCACTTTAATCAGTCAGTTAGTTAACTGATTAGCTGGTTACTTGTCTAATCAGAGTCTGTCAAAACTGTCATTTTGATTTATTGATTCAATTACTGTCAAATATTTCAACAACATCAACAGTAACAGAATGATAATTAAACAGAATACACTTCTAGTTGATTGCCTTTTCTTATGTCCCCTTCAAAGTGGTGTACATTTTAGAGAATAAAACAAGTGTTCAAGTGTCAAGGTTTCTTCTTCTTCTTCTTGTCATCAGGATGGTTTTCCTGGTGGTTGTGCTTATTTTGACCTGTTTTTCCAACTTCTAAATTTTTTTTCTCCTCTTCTTGAAATATTATATTTTTACACAGGAAATGCTTGATAATTTGGTTTTTTTCTTCCGTATTGCCAATATTTATTTCCTTGTTAATGCCATCTTGAATGCAAACATATTGATCATCTTGGAGATTATTCCATTTGCCATAGTAGCTGTTATATCCATATGTGTGTGTGTGTGTGTAGGCGAGCGCTTGTGCTTGTCCAACAATGATTTAACAATTTGGGTAGCTGTGTTTTATTAACAGGTATTGTATGCTTAGATCCCTGATTCAAACCACTTAACAGTAATGTCTTCTAAATTTCAAATTCTGGTTATTATCTTCTTGAAGAACTATAGCCTGTTACTTGTGGTTATTTGTATGCGAGTAAAAAACTGGTACTTAGGACTATTTTTATTTATCCCTTGGGTTCCCAGTGGAACACACGGCTTCAGTAGCACGTCTCCAGTGCACTCTGTCTTTGAAAATTTCTTGAACCTGGCTCCACGACAGCCAAGAAGCTCGCATTTCTTCCTCACACAATCCGCTGCATGTCACCCTCACCTTGGATGCCCAACTAGCCGTTTCCCATCTGGGTTCCACTTGACGGCCTGTCCTGCCGCGTAATGTCCCCGAATGGTCTTCTCA